TAAATAGCCACGAGCAAAAAATAAAAATCAATCCTTAAATTATATGATTGGTGAATGTGACGACTATGTGCGATCAGAACGATATAGGTGCACCAAAAAGTCTTATAGTGTGTAGTAGTAATTCTTCGCAATTATTTTATTGTTGGACAGACATTTTGTGCTAAAATTTTCAGGTTCGCGAATCGCCCTTTCCTTGTCGAATACTATCATCAAAATCTTATTTTTAGTCCATATGTAGTGGTGAAAGTTTATCAAATTATAAAAGTTGGATAAAACTTTGTTGGCGACACAGAATAGAAATGAAAGGTTACAAGTATATGTCGCCTCACATAGGTTGGGTGGGCTACGTAGAATCAAAATATTCTAACTTTCTAAATCTAATATCCCTCAGCTTTTAGTTTGGCTGTTTGGGGTGGAGCCAGGAACCGCTTCATATTTTTAACAGATTCATGTAGAGCGTACTTCACGCGACGGGATGGAAGTTACATTTTTTTTTTTTGAGTCCGTTAAATGACAAAACCATACTTTAAATTGTAATACGCGCAATCATTTTGCAGTTTTTTTAATACTTAAGTTTATATTCCGACAGGTGGCTGAATGGGTTGAAATTTTTTTTTTTTTAGTTGCATTGAGACCGGAGAAAAAAACTTTTATTTAAAAAAGTCTCAATTTCAATCATTTCGAAATTACTTTGACAATCCAATTAAAAGTAAAAGTGAGTTAAATTAAATGTTGAACGTCATATGTGGTCGCACAGTTGAATTGATACATCCGCTTCGGCATGGTCTCGCCCTATTTCAGTCAGAAAATTACATGGCAGGCAGTAGTTGTATTTTAGTGAGTAGCGTTACTCGACGGATAACAATTTTAAGTTTTATCATTTGTGAACGGAGAAGCTCTAGGAATCTGGTTTCTCAAAACTCTCTTATCCATCATGTAAATTAATAGTATTGTTGGTAATGAATGAAGTATCTCTTGACTGTAGCTATAGAAGTTGAACTTAAAAAAAGTTCAAAGTGTCCATAATATCATAAAAAGTTTTAATTTTCAAAGTAAATTTTTCGATACAATTTATAGTTTATTGGCCTCTTATCCGTGTATTAACAGATATGAAAACGTGAATGAACACTGATTAAAAGAAAAAAATCTGGTAAAGCTATATAAATATATACATACAGAGAGATAACTGAAATTATACCAAAATTGAAATTGTAACTGAGCTGCACGAACACCCTATATATTGCATAGTCGTGTGGTAATGAATTTTTATTATAAAATTTTCAGTCAATCAACGCAACGTTGAGCTTGTGCTGATTAGGTTGTCACTTAAGAATCAGAACCTAACTAATCGAAATACTGTAATGTAAACAAACAGCATATTGTGAAAATAATATGTATGATTAAATAATAACCTGATATTTACCATTTTTCTTTATACGCTCCATAGTGATATTTTAAAATATAACATAATACTAGCGGAGAAGAATATATATAGACCCAGGCCCGTCGGGCTTCTGTTCTGATATATAAACGTGTTTCCTGATAAGATGGAGAAATGTGTAGAGGCTGAAACAAGTATGTTCGGTACTTTGCATGGGGCAAACTTGGATGGTTGTCCTACGTTCATCAAAGAAGAACCTGATCCGATCTTTTCTTCGGGTAAGCTACAGTCTAATTTACTAATTCATTAGTATTGTATTTCGTTGCATCGATTCATCATTCCACGACTTGTAGCCGCCTCGCAGTCAATATGGCGTAGAATACATTGATGGGTTATCCGTTTAAATCTGACTTGATCGACTCTTGCAAGTTTAAATTGAATATTTGATAGACTATTTTCAATTTAGAAAAATTGTAAATTATACTAACTTCTTTAGTTTTACGGACGTTTTGATATTAGACATAACATACGCTTGGACGAAACGAAAAGAGTGAGACGAGCAAACGCAGGCATACCCCAGAAGAATATTAGAAAGCGGAGTTTCGGTAGTAGTTCTTTAACTACTCTGTTGCAAAATCAAGTGATCTTGTCCACAACCCTAATAGGCAAATAAACGACACAATATAAATAGTCGTTAATGTTAGTGATCATTCCCGAAACTAAATCTGTCACACCACAAGCTTTGCCCCATTTGGTTGGAAATTATTGTTATTATAGAAAAGTCGCTTTTCAATTTTCTTCGGGTATTGTTGCATTTTTGTTGTTTTCGGAAAGAATGTGATCAATATTCTATAATTGTTGGAGTCTACAGAGTTGGAGTTTTAATTTCAAAATGGCGCTAATTTTTGCTGAAGATATTTTGATGCGCACAAGAGAAAATCCTTCTCGCACATTCCGCAGACGATATACGGCCCAGCGCAGATATATATACTTCTAGTTAATATCTTAAGCGCCATCTTCCGGAAGCGCTTTTTTATTTCTATCCGCTGATATGAGCGTGGTGATGTCAGTAGAGTGCAACACATACTAGCGTTAATATACGCTCGTTGAACAAGTCTTTTTAACAAAATTGTAATATTATATATAGTTCTCATACATCAGGATATTTAAGGAACTGGTGACGCAAATGCGCAATATCTGTGTACGCGACTTGATTTTTATACCCTTTGAAAAATTATTTAAAACATAACAAACAAAAATGATTGCATTATTAATTATTGGCCATTTCGTTTATCATTAGGCAAACACTACATGCTAACGATTGCCAAAGAGTGGTGTGTTTTCTTATTATAGATAATGTGATAAGCAGATGAATTCAAAGCAAACTTGACGTTGACAGGTGGCGTTAATGCTAATTATTGTCACCTATTGGAGCAGAAAATCTTTTTATTCAAAACATACAACCATTTAAAAAATATCAAATAACAAATGCATTTCAGCTAATCTTCCTCAAGAACTATATATTTCCAAAATTACGGACGGATTATTAAAGGACTTAAAATAGCATATATCACTATACATAATATTCTACCGCTATTTCCGCTACAGCGTCATGAACTTTATCTGCCCTTGGTATTAATTAGCATGTTTTATGTCGATGTGAATTCGGAACAATTTAATGTTTGAATGAATATTCCATGAATCACAATCGAAAATTAATATCATAAATGAAAATTGATATCGTTTCGAAATTTCGAAACAACAAAATCGCTGATATCAAAATTGCTTGATAAGATATCTTTGTGACGTCAGTAGTAGCGCATTATTCGTTTAAATAGCGAATTAGGATGTTTTTTAACTAGTGTTCCCTTTTTAAATTAAAAACCACGAGATAATTGTAAACTCGACAGAGTGGGTTGTGAAATTTTTCATCTATGAAAACCGTTAAATATGAAGAAATCAATACGATTTTTCTGTCAAATATGAGTATTTTAACAAACAGAATTCTCAGTTTTGTTTAAATCACATACTCTAAATAGGTTCCATAAAATGGATAGTTTATAGTACGATTTTTCACCATACTTAATTTTAACTTAGCATTCTGCTTTTCATATGAAGAATTGTTTCGATTGGCAACATGGCCCCGTTGAATAGGGAATCGCTTTATATTTCGTATTTGTTTTGCGGCCCAATACTCCAAGTTTTTCCCAAAAAGGTGTGGAATTACAATAAGGAACACTTCATTTTTTTGCCAATAAGTAGAAATTTAATGAACGCGCTTAGTCGTAGCCTGGAGCCATGAAAGCGCCGTCATTTTCCTGAATTGAGCCATTATTATTTTTTTACCTTGGATTGCTTCGATGACAATATGACAAGGCTCATTAAACTCTTAGATTTCAATCATGACAGGCGATCTAGTAACTTTATTCTTGAGTGCGCATGCAAAAAGGTTTTGAAAAACATTGTGTAGTGTGTTTTTGCTCATTCAGCGTGTCAGGGTCGAAAATGAACTCAATGAGCTGGCTAAAGGGATTTAAACCTAATTGGGTTCAAAAGCTATCGCGATCGGGAACAGCGTTATCGAATAAATATGTATTGCTTATGTATTATCTTTTACTTCATTGTGGATATAGTTTAATGTCTTAAATTTAATTTTTATCAATACTGCGCGACATTAGATGTTTTTTGATATCTTAGCTTTATAACCTTTTAATACAATTTTATATGAAAATTGAAATATTTTTTTTTTTTATTGTTACCGCGATTTCTGATTCGCCCTGTGTCTTTAATTTAACAAATAAAGATCATTGGCAAAGTACCTGAAATGTTTTGAGCAAACATAGGCTTTCATAAATGTATTGCCACGTCAAGTGTTGATGAAAATGATGATTATGGCATTATTGTTTTGGTAGAAAATAGCGTTTTTTTCTAAGAAAAAAATGATTTGTTTGCGCTGGGTTCAAGGGCGTTTTCTGCGTCGATACTGCAAAGTTGACTGATTTATGGGCGATTTAGGAATAACTAATTAAATTTAATAGCCTACGGATATGCTATGTATATAAATGTTTATATGTAATATAATCTAGTTTTTACGGTTCGTGTCAAAAGTCTACGGATTTACATATATCCATCGCAATTGTAAGAAAAATTATACGATTTTATTTATCGGATAAATAGCCCAGAGTCATGAAGATTGTTGTATCAAAATGTAGATCTTCACATAAACTTGATTTAGCGAAAATATATTTTTAAATATTGCATCAGGGATTAAGTTAAGAATGAAATATTTCAATTAACAGGACAAGTAAAGGATTATATTTAGGTTGTTGAATAAAGTGGCGAAAATAATGCTGTATTCTAAAAAGTGACATTTTTTATATTTTATTCTTCTGTATAGTCGCTGATTTTTAACATTTTCAGAGTAATTCAAATTGACGCTGGCGAAATTAAAATCACTTGTTATTTATTTCATAAATAGAAATGATATTACAGTAAAATTTAGTAGTAAGCGTCCAGATCTCATATAGAGCGGTGTCAGAGGCATAGGTCCAAAACGCCAAGTGCAACTATACAGTCACAGAAAAAAAAAAGAGTTTTTTCTTTATTTTCACACGTAGAGTGCTAATATACTGAATCACTTTGTTTTGATAAAACTCCAAAATTGAAATACTGGGCTACACAAGGATACTCATCGATATTATTTGCGTGTTTACAATTTTACCGGAAATAAAAATTTTGGGTTGCGCTACGGCGCCGCAGTAATCATGGAGGTTATGAATGGAAAAGCATTTGGAACAGAAATGACCACGTTTGATCAAGTAAAAACGGAATATGATGGTGAGTTTGTTAATCAATTGAGAAAATATTTAGCCGTGGAAAAGAGTACCACTCAACTGTGACTAAGAAGTTTAGCGCTTCGTCCAGTCGTAAGTATTGGCGTTGAGGGGTTCATGGAATTCATAGTTCATTTTATATTGCATTTCTATTTACCGCCAAGTACGTTTTTTGCTGTTATGTTGTCAAAAATCTAAATTGGGATATGGATTGAATTATTTATGCGGAAAAATCATAAATTAAAGCAGAATTCTATTTGTGGTAAAAAGGCAAATTTCACATTTACGCGACGCAGGATAAGAGTCGAGTCCAAATTTATGCTAAGATAATTTTTATTTAAAATCTTGTAAATTAACTTATGTTTGTTTTTTTACATATATTTGTTGCCATAACAAACTGTACTTTAAAAACGAATTAAATTAAGATATGTAACGAAAAAATATAAAATGAAGCTTAAATAGAACTGTGACACATCCACGAAAATTATTTGGTGCGTCTAAAGGAAGAAAATGAAAAGATACAATGCCCTTTTTCTCTGATTTCCGCGAGCACAAGGACGGTTGGATGACAGAGTATTAGAGTGAAATAAAAAGCGTTGGGAATAATTACTCTTTATATATAATGGAGTGAACAAAACGTTTGTTTGATCTATTTTAAATAAAGAACGAACTCGATATAATCAATATTTATCTCTATACTGCTCACCGATTAAACAGAACGAATCATATAATATACTTATTTATTTATATTTGCTGCGTTTTTTCGACGACAAATTACATCACAAAATTGCAAAAGAAAATATTACTATAAGCCGTCACCATGTCTCGTGTACAAAATAACTTATTGAAGCGTCAGTATAAGAACAATGAGCTTATACATACATGCGTGGCGGAATTTGACTTCTTGTAAGCGAGGATACATATAATTACATTTCTATATATGTAAAATCCTATAATCACTAACCGCATTCGTGTACTTCTCATTAGGAAAAATTCTACATCATTGTGTAATGCTCACGTACATCCTAATTTACTTGTACTATTGTAACATCGATTCTTACTTCTTCATCAGACATCAGCCAAAGGCGAATTGAATAAAGATATTTGTCATTTAGTGTATTATCGTAGATAACAAAATATAAAGTCCGGTTAGCATAATGTAGACAGACAGCACACGAATATTAAACACTACCATTTTGAAGTATCACTGCAATTTTTTCTGGTTGAAAAAACATTAATACTATAAATAAGAGAATTTTTATCTTTTCTAAATGATGGAGTAGAAAATTGTGATTTTAAATATTTATGCATCAAAACTTTTTATTAGTCACATTTGGGTTTGAAAACAAAAATTCGAAATGTCAAGTAATTATTTCAAAAATTATCAATTAAAAATGGAATTCTCTGAATAAACAGTAATTCAATAGACTACATAAAAATGAACAACAACAAAAAATGAACATTCTATCAGTTTGACAAAAGGCTGAGTTTAAAACATGACCTTTACCTAACCGAAGCATTTTTTGTGAAAATGGCAATTAATTTTTTAGCGTGCAGACAACGGTCATAACTTCGACGTAACTACAAATTAACGGCCAAGAAAACACACGATAATTACTAGTTCTCATTGTTCTAACTCTAATTTGTCGGTTAGTCAACGATAAAAATGTTGTTAAAATTGGAACTGTAAAATTATCTTACAAATTTCTGTTGAATCGATTCATTTTGAATGTCTTGTTGTCCAGATTTTTTTTTCGTTTAAACTTGAAAATCGCATATCGTTTGACAATTTTACCTCTTACTATAGCAGGGATTCACTCTGAACAGGATGGGTCCATTTAGAACAAACATGTAGGTGGAAAAGCCATTGAACACAATGATATTTAATATTAAATGTTTATATTTGTATACTAAAAGCAAGTATTAATATCTATATTGTGATTTACTACCCATTAACATCAAAGCGTTAGTCCGAGTTGGAAATTTAGTAAGAATTTGAACTATTTTATATCTTTCATTATCCCACGCTTTGCATATGCATGGATTATCATATTTTTGCATTAAACCGCAAGGACGGCGCCAAGATAAAAGCGAAATAAGATATCAAAGAATGATAAGAATTCTATTTTATTTTGCGAAAATCTAAATAAATGAGAGTATTGAAAATATGCCAAGTAGTAAAAGATCAGAGAGCATTCCCTAATTTCATCAGTTTACTTCAAGGGATTTACAGTCTTGTTCGTGCCATATACGCGACAATAACATCAATTTATTGCTCTATAAAACTGATATGCATTGGCAAATTTACTGCTGTTTATTTTGTCACTGCACCAACCCTTAGAAAGAATTGCCAAACCCAAAAGTCATTGTTTGATATATTTAATGAAAACATGTTTTGTGCTTTATAATCTATATCAAAATATCTCCTCAAGTTTATGAAGTTTGCAAAACTTTTAGAATTATCATAAAGGTCAACATATACTCTTGCCACTCCATCCTTGAATATACACATTTGTATCGATCAGGGCAAACCCATAGGAATTGGGATAAACAGTTTGTTCTACAAAAAAACTCATTATCTCATTGCACGTCACGACAGGTTTTGTCCAAGGATACTCCTACTTTATGGTCTTATGTGTAAGAATTTGCGTCAATTTCGCATATGATTTAAACAAACGCGCCCCATAAAACTTGCAGCCCGACCCTCGATAGTCGTGAAAATGTTTTACGATTCACCACATTCAATTTCATTTCTCCACACAGTTGACATTGTCTGAAATTTAACAAAGAACACAAAGTACATAATAAATGAATCGAAATCGTCAATGTGATTGTAATAAATAAGTTGGAAAAGTCAACGAACTTTTGTTCATTCGCCCAATAAATATTTTCACATTTTATATACATTTTGTGCAGCTTTAAAACTGTAAGGAAATGTGCCTGATGTTTAATGAGATTTGCATCGAGTAGTACGTAGAATTTAGCGATAGCAAACTATTCTTTCGAAGTGAAATATCTGGATCACTGAACAGCCCATTCTTACTCGTCAAATTTTTAGCAAACGCATTTACGGTTCGAAAGGCTTCCGTCTTCCCATAGCCTCCTCAGGCGCAAAAATGTATGATATATTCCTGTTAATTTAACTGGGTGATTTATAAATGAAGTCAAACCTATAAATTGTGGTTGGTGGCGAAGCAATAGTCTTTCAAACAATGTGCAATGTAATTTATCATCCTGCGATTTGATGCGTCTAGTTTCATGTTGAGGTACACCCGATTCTGATCCGGGAAAAATCAGGCATGAACTCAGTAAAGCTTTGTTCCACCTCTGTTTACCTCACCGAATTCATCGACATGCATTAGAATTAGATCGTAAAATTTTTACGAGCGTTACCCGGTGCAAGTAACGTGTGATCGCGTTGTTTGTTTGCGTCACTTTGCCATTATTTCTGCTGCCAATCGTGCCGATGAGTCAATACGTCGTAAATTTCTGACAGAAAATTTCAGTACAACTATGATGTGGGAATTAATAAAAAGGATGATATATGTGCCGATATATTATATTGGTTATTAGCCAATTTGGACTTATATTGTGTAAATTTGCTTGTAATTTATATCAATCCTCGTTTGGATTCCATCAACAGAGACACACAAATCCAGAATTTCCTTTCCTGAGTACCATTGAGATATAAACCACGCTTCCAAAGCGTGATACATTATCGCCAGATAATGGTCAAGGCTGAAGCCATGTTGAACAATATTTTAAAACACTAGTTTACAAATTTCGTGTATGTTATAAAATAATCGAAACTTAACTGAAATAATTCAACTGGAAGTGACACAGTATAAACCGGCGATTCTTTTATCCTTACTCGTACAAAGCTCGATATACGCTTTTGCTGCAAACAGAATGCTGCTTTTAGTTTGTTTATCATGCACGTATCGTTCTTTGCTAAGCTAACATTTATACGCATGAAACGAGGACGACGGGGTCGAGGGTCACTTTAACGCGCTTGTTGATTGGACGATCCGAAATCAGCAGCTTCAGCTTCTTTAAATGCCTGCATATTATTTATTATCGACAATCATTAACTTGCAAACATTTCGATAAACGTCAAAAAGTTGCCGATTTTACCACGTGTGATTCATTAAAACCACACATACACATTGTTGGGTCCCAGATGACATGAGATAGTAGGGTCTGGTCGTAAAACTATTCGACAAAGGTATTACAGAATTATTAACTTCTGCGTGCATGCAATAGGTTTTATGACTATGCCGCGTAAAATCAGTTTGAGACATGACTTCAGGAAAAACAGATGTGCACTTCCAACAGCAAATTTTAGATTCGGCACCACTAAAAGTTATATTATATATTTTTAATATTATTTTTTTAAAGTAAATTAATTATTTTTTCAAAAATTTCAAATTCAAAACTCGTGTTTTACTTCGTTTTTGAAAAGAGCCGGAATTTAGCGTAGTTCGTTCGCCATATGCGCTATCTTTAAAGTTGGTTAGAGAAAGCAGGAAATTTATTCTTAGTCAGGAGTGGAACCAATGGAATTAGATTGTGACAGTAAGGCCGTGCCCTACAATCTGACGGAAAATATATTCGTAGAACATTTCATCATACCTGGTGAGTTACTTAACTTCGACATTCGATTTTTTTGTTTGAATTTAATTAAATTATTCAATAATTTACTAAAAATGGGCTGAAATAATTTCGCATAAAAGAGGGCGTAATTTTTGAGCAATCAATGTAATTAAAGCAAAGTTTGATCAATCTCAGTATTTTTTTTTGTTTGAAAAATTGTAACCTTTTGTTGGATAAAATCTGTTCATCGGGGGCAAGAACAAATCTATTAATAATATGGCGTTATCCCAAGAAAAACCGCGGTGTCTCATCCGGGTCAGCTTTGCAACTCGCGTTCGTACATATGCAGGGTCGTGATTGGTGGCGCAAGCTGTAGAAAGTCACTTGGCTAGTCCCCGAACTCCTAATAGAACTAAAATAAAGAAAAATGGAATAAAATTATGTCCTAACCTGGTACACATACTACGTTCCGGTGTCCCCCATCTTGGTTCACATACAACGGGAGCGACAAAGATTCAATCAGGGTCATCCGAGGTGCGACGGCGACTTTTATTCTGGCCTGTCCGAGGGAGTCAATTCGTCGCACAAAAATGTATAAATTGAGAAACATTCATTGTGTTGTTGGGTTACATCGCAGAAGTGTTGAAATACATAAATTATCCACTTGTTATTTCTTAGTAATTTCTCTTTTATTATCTTTTATGGTCAAGAACTCTTATGAGTCACAACCAAACGTTATAATTCTGATGGGCGACACGCGTTCTTTGGAATCTAATTGTCACTTTCCTCGTGTAAGAATTCATGAGCTTCCTCGCCAAATTAGATAATTAGAACTAAGAGTTTCGAACATCCACAAAATTACGTTAAAATCGGAATTGCAACATCGATGGCTTTTGTATTCAGTTATTATTATTAGGGCGTAACCCTAAAATTACTTTTAAATGGGTATTGCCACTTCCCCTTTCAATAATTTCCATAAAATCCTTCTCTTGAATTGATTTGCATTCCAATCCCAGCGTTTTTCGGAGACTTCGATGCGCTGATATTTTTTGCTCATTATTTACATAATGACATATATATTTATATTCCACATTACCGAAAAATAAATAAGCTGTTAACTTTTTACGAGATGATTAATAATTCCGTTTCGAAGAAGACTCAAGACAATAGACACACATACACGTGGGAATACTAAATAAAGGTTCAGTGAACAAGTATTGCGCTCTAAAAATATCCGCTGGTGATCACGTTTGCCTGTTTCCGTAACTCGATGGCGGCGAAATCTCTAAGAAGAACTCAACGCTACCAAGTAAAAGAAAATTTGATTACTTGTTACAAACATGAAGGGCTTCAAATTTAGACCAATAGAAAGTAAACTTCGTTAGATGAATTACATATTTGTATGCATGTGTTTGTGATATGGGGTTGACAAACAATCATCTTATCGGATCTTTATGAAACTAAATTTCAGAATTGAATACATACATTTTTCCTACAGACTTTTTATTGGGCTTTTGTATTTGGAAATATTCATTTATTGAAAATTGATGAAAAAAATATTTGGTTCATGTTCTTCTATTTATTTCAGTACCCCAACCAACTAAAGTGCTGTACATTTGTTTCAATATACAATAAAAGGTCCAGATGGTAAAAAAGTGAGAATACTACGTCGAATTTGTGAGAATCCGGTCATCCCATGGTCGCAATGATGACCTAACCTTTTTAGAGCAAAGTTTCTAGAACAGTGCTCTATTCAACTCAAACAAAGACGACAATTTCATAATGTTTTGCAATTAACGTTACAGAGCGAATTCATTTTACGTAATTTTATAACCATGCAGTAACATTTCAAATTATGTAACAAATGATTTTCAGCTATTGTGTCGCGGAAGTATAAGATTACACATAATGTTATTTATTTTTATATAACATATTTGCGCTGCACCCCAACAGCCAAACTTAAAGATATGTAAGCTAGTGTTTAATATCCCTATTAAAGAGTAGTCCATGTCATTGTTTAATGTTCTTCATTGTTTAGTAAAGGTAATCAAACTTAGGCAGTCAAGATTCATATTTTATCAATGCCTTGTGTGCGCGGGACTACGAAAGCGATGCGGAAGACATGCATCGACTTGCATGCGTCACATCGTCATGTGCAAATGATAGGTTGTGTACACCCCGTGTTTGTACTTCCGATAAAATGACGATGAGTGTATTGCCATAAAAACAAAATATTGTTACATCCGTTTTGAAAGCTGTATTTGACAGACGCATATCCCGCGCCGATATGTATTTTTAAACACAAATTTGATCGAATACCGGGCCGGGTACAACATTGTCATAAAAAACATAGTTCCACTTTCTGGAAAAATCTAACAAGTTATTTTCTAACGTTTCAATTATGGCTTGAATAAGACCTCCACCGAACGAAAATGTTGCGAGGGAGATCATATACTGAAAAAATTCTATTTTTTTTTTCCAAACAAAATATTCATAACGCAGTAACGTACAGTAACGTAGTCTGAAATACGATGCCGTGAACTGCCAAGAACTCTTTTAAGTCGTGTCAGTTGCCGTGAAATTATGGGATATCAATTTATTGGCAAGAACATATTCACCTACGTATGAACCCGCGGTTGCAATCTTGCGATATATCATCAGCATTTTAAATATTGACATGGCGTGATTATGCGTAGTGCGCCCAAGTAGTTCTGTTTAGTTAATTGGCAACTGATGCTTATTCCATGCAGTTATTATCGACATAAGTAAACAGATAAAAGACAATTAAGCATGTTATCTTCACTTCATCAAACTTTGGTCAAGTGGGGCGAGAAGAGTGTTGTTAGCTCGCGTGAAAATTCCCTCGGTCTCTTATCAGGAAGATTACATCGGCGAATATTCGACCTAAACGTTCCCATACATTGAACAACCAAAGAATGTAGATTTCGCAACGGGCATGTCTAAACAAGTTTTGAAAATGTTGTTGCAAAACAACTTAATCGAAAATCATTGAAATATTAATTAGTAATAAAAACAGCGATGAGTCATCATTGAAACATGTATATTCTATATGTATTATTCAACGCAATTTGTTTTTCTTCACTCGCTCAAAAATGCTTAATTAGCAAATGTAATTACCTCGTAAATTTTACACGATATGAATGCAGACCATAGTTTTATTTTTTATTTGATTAAATGCTTGTTTTGATGTTACCCCAATGTTTCGAATAATATTTCGCGACAAATATCTCGTATCTTCCACGTTATTTGATTCTAACTACCGAAGTAGCTGAAAATGGCAAATGACAATAATCAGGTGCGCATGTATGGCGATAAAATATGTAAATATTAACTTCGTTTCGCACGTTTTATTAAGTTTGCGGCAGATTTATCTCGCCATAGCTGTCTTGTGCAACAAGAAATTGACGGAGAACAAACAACAGCCTGAAATGTCAAATATTTGTGCACGTCATGTTATTTGGTTACCTTGCATCTCCCAATTTTCTGTTTGTTTTCCCATCCAAGCATGGCTGATAGTAAATCATGATTGATTAGACTACATCCCAAAGTTTAATAGGTTTGTGAAAACTAAGAATCTTATAGAAAGACTATACTTTGGCTGCGCTAATACAAATGATTGTATTTCGATGATTAGTTACTAATTAATTATGATCATACATATTTTAATTAATGCTGTTGTTCAGACGTCATACGCAATAACAGCAACGTCGTTTACTTATACTCATTTACATAATTATGCTACGATAGCAAAATCTTTTCTAATGTTTTCTTCCTTCAAAATCTGCATTTTTAAGCCAACGCGTGCAACATACATTCAGGTTGTTGGAACATTATAAAGTATTCACCCGTGTTATAAATATGATCTTGTTTTTCAGATGGGGATAGCCTCCCATTGGACACAGATCTGAACTTAGCAGATTTAGCTGATCTTATGTCAAGAGGAGAAAGCGACTTGTAAGTCCTATTGCTTGGTTTCGACATAATTTATCTGAATATACATCTGATAACACTTTATAATCACTGAAAGTGCGTTAACATGAATTTATATGTTTAATATTAAGAAAAATGTAGTGTAGGATTATAAATTAAATGCAGCATATTATTTCAACATTTTTGTGACTTGATTCATATAAGACTCTCGCAGTTTTATTAATTTCCAACTTTCACATATAATGCGGCCGATAAAGCACTTCTAACCAGCTTGGAATCGCGTGTTCTGCGGTTTCAATGGCGTGTACAATGAAGTAGACTGGTAATTATCGACGTCCACCTAGTGTTTTAAAATCCAACACGTTTTTTTATGTCAGCGCGTTACGTTTTTTGTCATAAAACAAACAAGAAAACATAATCTGAGTATCACTTTAGAATCAAAACAAGTTTGTATGAATGTTAAATAAACAAGGCCTAGTTTACATATTTCAAAAATACATTATTCTATCACTGATATTTTAAACACTCACTTTTCAGACCTATCGAACTACAATCCTCGCATCTTGACTCTTCGCCACCTCACAACGTTTCAGACGTCATACATCAACTGCACGGAGGACACGAAGAGCAGTTTTCATTAGGGAGTGTGAACAGAGGTATACTTAGTTTATGGCTCCTTTATCTAGTAGAGGAAGCACCATTTTATTTCTTTATTTTAGAGATAACATATAAAAAATTACATTCCTAATAATCTATTTCGAAGTTCTGAACGAACAGCCCACAGTGGACAGTAAGAATTCAATTCTTCCAATTTTCAGAAACTTCACCTAGTCATCAAAACGGATACAGTTCCGACGGTTCGTATCAAAATTATTCCCACAAAAACGCTCTTTTGATTGAAAACTATCAGACAAACGGAGAATATCGACAATCAAATCAGCTGCAGCAAAACAAGAAATACGCACTATCGCCACAAGATCAATCGTATCTGCAATATAAACACAGAAGGTAAATATCATCAAAAGTTTTTTCCGTAACTTTAGTTGGAACACATCAACTTTCTTCTAAAAATAAACTGTTTTCATCAGCAGGTGCCTGCCGGAATCCCCTCCAGATTCTGGATCTGAACCGTGTTCATCACCACAAGAAAACAGAGGTTTGTAACCTATTTGTGTAAACTAATTTACAAAACCAAAACATACGGCTTCATTCTCGACTGTTTTTCGCAGAATACATTGATCCTAACCGGTACACAAACGGCATTGGTCCAGATCATCAGTTACAGCGTGACCGTCTCGCTCAACACCAACAACACAATCACTTGCACAACTTACCAGGCGGTAGCAGTCCATCAGGTGAAAGTACCTGCAGTCATCAAAGCGGCGGAAGCTCTCAAACTTCAGGTAGCCCATATTTGCACAACGTGAACCAGCAGCAACAATATTCTCCGGTTGAAAGTCAAATACAACAGCAACAACAGGTCCAAGAGTTTGAAGACACTCTGAATTCTGTTCAGACCACGAATTCAAATCCACTTATATTACACCAACAATCCATGGATTACAGTACAGGTAACTATCACGGCTATTTTCATGTCTTATATTCTGCCAAATTTCGAGTCTTTGTCAAATTCATGAGCTACTTTATAATTTATATCATTTGCAATATTGATATCACTCTAAATGACGGTTATCGTGTCAAATGTGGAGCTGCAGCAATCAGTCACATTGACTTTTCGTACATCCGCATAGTGTCACGAAGTTAGAATCAAACCTCACATCTAGTTTTCCAGTATAAATTTGATTTGAAACCTGAACCTTGATATACATTTTTGTTGAATATTCTTGCCAACTTGGAAGTTTTAACTGTAATGAAACCCGGACAGTTTTTGAATCTGGCAACAGAAAATCGCCAGACGCGTTAGTTACACGCGTCGATTCAGTTCGGTGTATTGTGACGTAGGGTTTAAGCTCTTTGATCAAGTTCGTTTCTAAATGCCAATTATGCTCTTATTATTATCCGCCAAACAGGCGCAACTTCAAGTGTGGAAATCTGGTCGCGTGCATGACTTTACTGTACTTCGAAACACAATTTGTTATTTAAATATAAGCTTCCATAACCCGCTCTGAAAGTCTGGTACATTATTCTCAGTTTAAGCACCTAGTGTTGCCAGTAATTCAATTTTAATTATCAACGGTAATTGGATATTTAACAAAACTAATTTATAATTTCAGCCAACGGACAACAATCGAGTCTTCATATGAACAATAACTATTCAGACCAACAAACACCACCGGGAACAAATTTCTACGTTGGTTCCAATCAAGGAATCATTCAAAATAATGGACAGGCTAATGATGTTCACAGTCCCGGATCAAATGGTCTACCCCTCCCCAGTCAACAACATATGAATCCACTAATGGAACAGTTTTTAAATTCACAATTGTAAGTATATGTTAAACGTTATAACAAATCATATCAAACAGTTTACATAGGAAGCTACTGTTTGCAAAATTTATGTTTGTCATCATCCACCCAGATCACCTCGTAATCAAACTTATTTGTGTTATTTGTAGATGAATCAAGATTTCATTCTTCTATTTTTAGAAACGGGCCGACCACAAAGAAACGAAAACACTCGGAGTCTCCACAAGGTGCAGTTCCTGAACAATTAAACGCAACCATATTGAATCATCAATATCAACAAATGATCGGACAACCAATTAAACAAGAGCCAGGTATACCTATTGAAAATAAGAAAAGAAATAAAAACGGGGTTATCACGAGTTATTACCATTGTCAAATGATGATTATGGATTGAAGAGATGTTCTCTACTCTTATTCATTCGTGTCGTGTCCTATTTTCAAATCCTTAATTTTTTTTTACCTCTTTAAACATTAGTGCGGATTCAATTGAAACTATCAGGTAATACCAACAATTCGCTGAACTCACATTAAAATAATATCGTATTAAATCGTTTTCTCATATAATACTTACCCAGGTCTGACGTCACCAACAGGATGTGACGCTCGTGGTTACTACAACAATGCTTATGAAATGGGTGATACCTTATCCAGACACCCAAGTACAGTTCAAAGAGGAATCATCGGTGGCTCCATAACCCTAAATAATAATGGATTATCACAAATGCCAAATCCAACATTGATGAACTCTATACTCCCACATAGCGACGTAATTAATCACCAGCCGCCAGCAGTGACGACACAACCAACGTCATCCTCCACCCATTATTTGGATAATGGATCCTACCAGGTCATAAAATGGTCACCCCACCAGAGGGAAAATTGGTGCAACTTAGTCGACGCTAATGGAAAAGATTTGTGAGTCAATCAATAAATGTATAATGTATTTAATGACACAATTTCAGCAGTTTGTTATAAGTATATTTCAAAATATACATCGAAATACCGGTAGAAATAGTGTACTTTGTGAAATATTATTAAAATTGTCGCTTATAAGCTCGACATGTGAACTTTTAAACTTGACATTATCCTCTTAATCTATGTAACGAATGTATCTAAAATAACTCGCCACATATCCAGTGCCACATCGTACCATGTTCCGATTTAAGTTTGTTATTCTCTCACGACTCTTTATGGTTGTGAGATATTATATTGTTCGACTTTTAAGCCGAAAAAAATTAAACATGTCAACACATATTTGATCTATCCCAAGATTAAAACAGCTTTTACGTGGGATTATGATTACAATCTAACTCAAGTTCATGCAAGCCACTCCATTTTATATTTTACCAAAGGGCCTTCTAAATAAATTTGAAAACTTTGGAATAATTCACACTGGTAATCAAGAAAATACAACAAAAATCATGTGGACATAGTTTTCAGCAAAAATGACCCTGTAAACAAATTAGACCGTGCGGGAATTTTCTTCCGAAAAATGACTATTTGTTTATTCTCGCAAAAGTCTAAACGTTTTGCAAATGCGTTTTGTAAATAGTCGGTTCAACAAAGGGTTGTCACAACAAAAAGCAAAATCTTGCAATAGTTCGATACTGAAAATACATGAAGTAAAAAGGTTCTTACTACTGTGCATAAGAGTGGTTGCACTAAAATTATACACTCACAAATATCTGTCCCCATCAAAGTTCATATTTGCAAACGAAATTCATAAAATATTTTATTGTTATGTTCACTGTATGCATATGAATGCGGCTTTTTTATAGATATGTTTATAGCATCACATGTCAGGAGCTACTGTGTCACAAATAAAATGAAATTTTGCAATATCATTCATTCTTGTGAAATAATTCTGATTTCTAATTTAGACCAACGGTTTCGTATCGTGTGGATGCCGACAAAGGATTCAATTTTGCCGTCCCAGATGACACATTCGTATGTCAAAAGAAAAATCATTTTCAAGTTACTGTACACATTGGAGTGGTTGGACAACCAGCGTTCATAAAATCAGAAAATGGACTGAAAAAGATCGATGCATTTTACCTTAATCTTTATGGAATAAAAGTAAGATAATTTGTTTCTGTTATTGAATAAATAGAATATATACGAACTACAGTTTTCAATTTATCTATTTTTGATTCCAGTATGAAAGTCCGAGTCAGACAATCAATATAGAACAATCACAGTCAGACAGAAGTAAAAAATCTTTCCATCCTGTGAAGTAAGTAGTTACACAGCATTTTTGATTGGGGAACAATATTGTAGTATATAATGATGCACAACCTTCTTTTTGTATTCATTGGTAAAAAAATTCAGTGTCGTTTTTGTATTTCAAGGGTCGATCTTCCAGGAGACCAAGTAACGAAAGTAACAGTGGGAAGATTGCATTTTAGCGAAACTACATCTAATAACATGAGAAAGAAAGGCAGACCAAATCCAGATCAAAGGTATGTTTCATTGTTTATGAAGATTTCAGACAAACGAAGCCAGTTTGATTCTTCAGGCTTGTGTATTGTGGAATGTCAATTTTTTCATCGTATCTCACCAGACTCTTTTACATTAATTATAAGGTATTTCATGTGTGTTGTGGCACTCCAAGCGCAAGCAGATGGTAAGGTGTTCATGGTCAGCGCCGCAAACACAGAAAAAATAATTGTACGTGCTTCCAATCCTGGACAATTCGACAGCGACGACGTGCAATGGCAAAGAGCACAAGTTCCAGACGCCATCTTCCATAATGTAAGTGAAACGCAAAGAAATGTTTTGAAAGACTTCCTCGCTTACATATAGGTGATGTTATTGCACATCAACAAAAACAGTAATACTCTCCTGTATAAATTCTTTCAGACATAGTATAGGAAAACCCGACGAAAATTTGTTTTTTTTTTGCTCCAAAGCATATTTATTTCTATGAGATACCAATTTTCTGCTAAAATTTCATATCATTCCTGAAGATAGCATGTCTATAATTTATTGTCATCGTCTAGAACAAAGTTCCCTTCCGGGCAAATTACTTTCGACAAACCTTTGAGATAGTGATCTATCCATGCGCGTCATACGCTTAATTTTAAACGATGGATCATGGTTAATGCCTCCACATCCGTTTGTAGATTTTTTGTCAATTCGGCAAAAAGATGTCATGTATCCTTAAAAAGGATTTTTCTCGATGAGTTAATGTGACCTTCGTGAGTGAGAATTCATTTATAATGAAAATGATTTTCCGAAGCTTCGCTTATCGTGTCGTACTTTACTCAACATTAAATAATTTCAGGCCATCACGCAAGAATAATATACGCCATATATATAATAATATTCAATATCGAATTATTATTGTTATCTTCCTTTAAACACAATATATAGAACAGTTATTGAATCAATTATGGATTTCTAGTAATCGCGCTTTTAGATGATTATACATAGTAGATTAAACCCATGTCCTATTAATGCTTACACGTATGGTTAAACAAACATAGTTAGGCTGATACGAGCCTCCTTCGAAGTTATAATATACATAAAACTAAATGAATAACTTGACATGTTTTACTAATAAGAACTTGAAAACTGCTGCAACCAAGATATGCATTATTAATTGAATAAGTATAAAGTATTGAATGTATTGTGTACTCTGTGTGGGTTTGTCGGTATCTTAATCTATATTTCATTGTTACACACATCAATATGATGTGACACGACAATCATATATTTGCGATGAGAAACCACACAGAGAACAAGAATTCGTTTGTTTTTTGTTAAAATAACTGACAATACTTACATCATCTTTGATCAAGTTTGAATATAACCGTTTGAAAACGCGAGCAATGCATTCATATGACCTACGAAACTCCAATACTTATCAGATTATACCAGAGATGAATATCTTAGACCAAAACAACGTCAGGAGACGTCCGTTCTCTGCGCCATAATTAATACCACACAAATGAAATATTCATACGCGATGGGAATCAATTTAGATTGTTTTTAGTATATCAGCGAATTTTCCTCAAGCGGTGCAACTTACACGGTACTAATGTCTGCGTGCGAAATCGTGGTTTTATTTGACAAACAGAGTTTGCTAGCGGGTTTAAATTTTAAAAAGGAAGAGATCATTTGTTTCCTTATATTTATTTTCAATTGAAGGATATTATATATATATTTCTAGTGATGACTTAGCTTTCCATGATAAAGCAAAGTACACCTGAATTCCAATTTTCTAGTGCCATCTAGCGGATTACAAAATCGAACATTAAGTCCACTCACTAATTCTAATTTTTCAGGGACGAGTTGGCATCAACTATGACAAACCTGACGAGTCTTTAGTTGTACATGGAAATATAAAAATTACAGGACGCCTAATGCAACCATCTGATCTCCGAGCAAAAGAAGATATTCAAGAGGTAAGTTTATTGTAAGATAAGATTTTCAGAAACCCGATAAGACAGCTCAATGCTATGAAGAATCACTTCTCTCGCACGGTTACCAGAATATGTCTGGTATGGGAATAGTCAACTCGTTTCAGATGTATGGACTCTTGCTCAAACAAACATGTTTCAACCAATACCTGTTAAAACTTCTTTTAATTTAATTCATTACCTACATTTCAGGTTGATACAAAAGATCAGCTGCGAACAGTTCAAAATGTCAGGATCGTAAGATATAAATATTCACCAGAGTATGCACAATATGCAGGAATTGACCCGACTGCAGTGAGCACAGGTAAAAAGACGTATTTTTTTTTAGAGACTACTCAATCGGCTTTGTCAATTTTTTTTTAGCTCAATATGTTTTTATTACTGAATATGAATATCCTCAGGTCTTGTTTTAGTTCACGGACGACTGAGGGCTGTGTTGTGTTATTATATTCAAATACTTTTTGCTATCTACAGGCGTTTTAGCGCAAGAATTTCAACAAGTTTTACCCGATGCCGTGAAGGAGACAGGAGATGTCGAACTACAAAATGGAGACACAATACCCAACTTTCTCGTTGTTGACAAGGTAATGTTTCCAACTGAATATATCTATTCAATGTATAGTCGCATCACAACGAGGAAACTTGATAATATTTTTATTTTATTCAGGATCGGTTATACATGGAAAATGTCGGTGCCGTCAAAGAACTTTGTAAATTAACCGGAAATTTTGAATCAAGAATTGACCAACTGGAGCGGTGGAATAAAAAACTTGCTAAACTGAAAAAATATGACAGCATAAGATCAACAGCGAGTAGCATGTTTAGGTAAAATAAACTTATCAAAATTTGTATTGTTTGTTTTTATCCTAAAATTCGAAATTCTTTATTCGGAATTAAAAATACAGTTTGTATGTTACTGTTCTTCGATGCAACCAAACAAGGAGGCTGTAATACTGGGATATGATTTTTCAAATACCTGTTAGAAACTCAGTCTAAAAGTATCGGACATTTTATGTTAATTGAGACCGCTTAGATATCCATTGCTTAGTGTTGAGTTGCATGACAATACAGTGTTTCGGATTTCGGTAAATCGACATTTAACTTTTTACAGTGGTATAAGCAGTCTTTCAACGTCAACTGGAACTCCTTCAGTAAGCCGGGCTGGAAGCACAAGGTTTTCAAAAGACAAAAATCATAACGCAAACAATAAAAATCCGGTTTCTAAAACAAAAAGTAAAAATCGACCATCAAGAGAAGGCAGTGACAATCGAAGAGATCGACACAGTCGGAGGGTAAGTTGGATAAATATAAGCGAATATATACAGGAAATGAAACAGCAGTCCTGTAGAGACGTCCAGTAGCGCAGAAATTTTCTGTAGTACTTACTGCTTACTAGTGCTCGGTACATATTCATTCAATTACATATAGATACTAGTTTATTAAATTTTGATTGCTCAAATTGATGTTTGCTTTTATATCGACAGGATGAAGCTACCCCTGATATCGGTGGAATCGGCTGCTTGAACCAAAAACTGACACAAGGACTAGTAATTGCACTTTTCCTCGTAATGGCATTCAGGTATTGACTTTGTTACTTTATTACATTTCTTTAAATATTCTATAAATTATTTTAATCTTGTCGGCGGCATCGACGATGGATGATAATTGTATAGACAAAGTGTTATAAAATTCAAATTAATGGACTTGTGTTCGTGTAATAAACTCGTGGATTCTCTTTGGCCTTCGACTATACAATACCCCGCATTCCAGTGCCCTTATTGTATTGATTTAAGGTAGTTTAAAGTTTGCACAATGCATACTCTGTTCATTGTGACTGAGCTTAGCAAATGATTTACCCGTTTTTATCAAATATTAGAACATAAAAGTATATTGACCCACTGCATAGCGCATTTACGATAAACTTCATATCATACATGAAAGAAAGGTCACACCTACAGCTACCTAAGTATGAAAACTGCTGATTACAAATGCAGTGCAATCCTCGCAATTTGATGGTTGCCACCTTTTTAATAAGGCAGAAATTTAACCTTTGCCTGACCCTTGCAGTTTTGTAGCGATGTCAACTTTGTACGCCATATCGCTAAACAACAATGGCGACCAGGGATGCTCAGGAACAAATTGTCAAACCAAAATGCTGAGTACCAATAACGCTGACGATTACGGGTACGCTCAACGCATGAGATAAAACTTCTCATGCGCGCATGTTCAGTCACATTTGGTGTTACCTGCAGCAATCACAAAGCAATAACAGTTTTCTGTCTAATATTCTGCATGCTTTCGGGTGTATTTTAATAACTATATTATCGCTAACATCTTTATAGTAACTCTGTAAATATTATAAAAGTTTTGCATGCTTCATTTTCATTATTTCTGGGTGATTTCAGTATGATTGGAATGATGGTAATATACATTGTTGACGCGAGAATGGAAAGCAATAACAACGAGCGGATTTGCCCGCCATGTCCATCATGCAACCCTACCATCGATACCTCTACTATTATTACTACGGGGTAAATATCCTGCACGACACCACTGTTTCTCTTTCCTTCCTAAACAAACATCTGTTTCCATTCTTGATATGAATAATACAATTATCGCTTGATTTCTAGATTCTTCTTTATACATTTGATCATTTTGATAACCTGTTCCAAGAAAATGTAATGTAACACTTTGTGATTCTCAAATTTTTATTCTATAAGCTTTGTGTTTATTTGCATTCAATTCATTACTAAGTGTAATTTAAATTTAAAAATATATTATAAATACAATGCCATTCTTTTTGGTTTGGTTGTCGAAAAATGTCATTGAAAAACTTCTTGGCAACGATATATAACGTCCTGTGAAATTACTAGCAAAATATGAGTATATCAGCGATTTTAGATGATAAATTTATTCATTTTAGACATAAGTAACAGTATCATTTAGGGAACAGTAAAAGTTAAACTATTCTTGTTTTTATCACAGAAATGACGCCTCGACATCATTTAGGTCGACTGTGGGACCGAGTAACCCCACAACCGAAATTGGAAGTGAGTTTCTAAAACTGTTATTAAATATATTTAACGAATTGAAACTCAAATTTTAAACTCTTTTCTGTGTTTCCAGCTCCTGCATCATCTGGTAGTAACCGCGTCCCCATTTCTTACTGTCCGATGGAGGGACGTGCAGTGTGTTCGGAGGAAAAGGTTGGTTCATGTGTAATTATATCATAAGTTTTCTGCCGTTGTTACGAAAAGTGAAAACATATAATCATACAATCGGAATCAATTTTCATACTGAATCTGATACGGATTGTAACCGTTTTTTAATATATTTTTCAGAATTACTGCTGCTCTGGTCCTACTCATGGTCAAGAAATTTCAGAACTTTGTCAGCGTGATATGATCATGCCTGATGGAGTGATGGTAACGAGCCCTTCAACAAGAAGACATCCTGATGCCCGAGGTAATAATTGCTTTCTTGTTATTTATGTATTGACTTAGGATGACATGAATTTATTGGTACAATCATGATAAACTCAATTGAAGTAGGTAGGCAAATTAAATAGGCCTCGTAATATGGTTATAATAAAAACATTGTATATTAAGTAACCAATCAAATGTCGTTGTATTTCGAAACAAACTATTCTTGTTATTCATTCAGGTGGTTTCTTCAACCCTGGGAAAGACAAGTACGACCCTTATCGAAGATTTGAACCAACTCTCCGACCAGAGCATTTTCGTACTTCGACATATCGATTTGTTAATCACAAAGCAAAACAGGAAAAACAGCGTGAAGAAAATCGACGCCATTATAATTACAAAACACAATACAGACGACCGCCGACTCCGAGACCGACCATAGAATATGTTCACAGTAAAGAGCCTCAACATATCACTCACCCCAGCACCCCACAGCACGTTGTTACAAAACCCACTATTCATCCAACTAGTCCCAAGTTCCATCGCACTCTCAACGTCACTGAAAAGAAGATCATTGCTAAAGAGAATTGGGATCACCAAGTGCCAGTTTCGGCATTCGATACAGGTGACTTAACATTTTTTACATTTTGATGAAAATAATGAGTGAAAAAAATGTCAAATTCCGGTTTGATTATTTTAACAAACGCTTGATGATACGTGTGAAGATGTAGTATTTCAAAACTGAAGATAATTTTTCAGAAACGAGTCTTCTTTTAAATGAACCCTTGCTATTTCATTCTGGGAAAATATTCATAAAAAATATATTTCAGATAAAGCTAAACCACCATCGGTTATAAGGAACCCGGAATCATCTAAAGATGATGGAATGAAGGATGATATTGATAACATAAAAGAAGATGAAGTTGACACGAAACCTCGTTATAAAACTATGAGGTAGGTAATAATTGATGTTCTATAAGGTATCTCATATTACACTGCAATTTCATACAGGCAAACCTGTATGCTTCTGATCTGAGTGTGTCAGACAAAACAGTAATGTTTCGGTAAGATAGTATTAAAATCTAAATCTAAAACAGAAATGGCTTGACCTCTATCTATAACATAGCATGTCGTTAGATGGTTCAAGTTCACTTTGCTTATGTGCGAATATGACATTCCGAATATATTTACCTTCGTTAAAAGTGATTTTTCTATTCTAATAATATTTTTAAAATGGAATTTGTTTAAGTGTTTAGTACGTTAAAATCAATCTTAACAAATACAAATATTTTAGAGATGAACCAGAAGAAGTGTTAACTCGAGTAAGAAGAGATGTTGACGACATTGATGAAACGGATGGAAGCGATACTGAAACAGATGATATTCTTTCTCAAAACGGATTGAAAATTTTATCTGTTCGTCTTCTGGAACCTGATGTGACATTGTATACAAACGAAACAACGGCATCTCCTTATGTGCTATGGTGAGTTATTCACAAAATTACCATTTACGACGTAATCTCCCAAGCCTTGCATAATATTCCCTACCATGATATAAATGTGATTTTTTTACAGCCACAGTTATCGTAACACAAGCTTCAATGTTCCAGTGTCGATGCATACCCCTCCCGGCGTTCCAATGACTCTTGAATTCAAGTAAGTGTTGAATCAAATTGGTACTTGAATACTATAAAAAGCGTAGCAAAATAGTCTATATTGATGCTACTTGCTACCCACAAATTTGGTACTGTTGATTTGCCATCTAAGAGTATCTGGATACTTTTTTATTGATTCTCATTTGCTTGGAATTATAGAACACATTCCATGATTTCTGTTTTACAAATTCTGTTACATGGTTGTATTTTAAATAAATCTAGAACATAAGTTTTGAAGTGGTAAACTTTGATCATCTGTTTTCTTCTAATAAACTGTATAAACACGTTTTAACAGCACTACAGTACCGGGTACTATATATTTATGCGACCACAAAAAGCTGAGCTTCTGTCAAGAAATTAGCGACCAATATTTACCAAACGAAGAAGCTGACGGTCGATCCAAAGACGGAACATCACTTCGTTTTACGCTTTTCTTCTCTAGCTACGTTTCGTCAGATTACTATTTCCGATTGACTACGGTAATCATTTTTTCCCTTTGTTCCTTTGTTTTGTTTTTGCTCAAAATTGATTCTACAAAATGGTACTCCAGGGTTGCACGACAAAAGAACTTTGGAAAAAATATCAAACTCGTGTTGTGTGCTGATCGCATACTAGGTCATTTTATTCATTCTTTTTCTCCCAAAAACGTTGATTAAAACATGTTATATTTCACTACAACTTTTTATACCAACAGGTAGACAAAGTTGGAGACTGTAGCTCGTCTATAGAAGACATGGGCAAGACGTTTCATCTGTTCCGATTCCGTTTTTACCGCCCTTGCACCATTGAAACACCACCGGAGTCTGACGAAAATGATCCTGCAACATATCTAAGTGAAATGTTATATCGCACAAATGACAGCGACTCAGAGTCACCATCAGATGAATACTCAGCCCCTGGTCAAGACGTCGGAGACGGGATGGCAAATGGTTCTGTAGATATGGCAAACGATCCTAATCCAATTCCAAACGATGAGATGAATTTGGATGGCCTTGATGAGACAAATGGTGATTTAGACATGCCTGCTTTATAACTCACACTAATAAAAAGCTTTGGTAACAAGTAACAGCTTGAAGCTTTGCGCGAACAACGGGCCTGCTTCCTAGAGGCCACACCGCTGTTCCTCAGCCAGTTCGATTTATTCACCGCTCTCGTACAATTTAAGATTGTTTGTATCAATTTTAAACGCCAGCTTCTGCGAAAAGTAGATGGAGAGTGTAGCTTACAGATTCGAGTCTGTTATGCAATCCTAACTTGCTACAAGTTAGGAAAGCTGTACAATGTAACACGTTTGATTTTTAAACTATGTCTATTTAAAAGTAATTTTTCACGTTTTCTCGTACTGATTAAAACCCCTTTTCATTATTTGATTGCGCCAGGTTTATATAATTAAAACCTGGCGGTGTTAAGTTCTATTTGCATTTTGTCATTTCCCTTATACCATTGTAAAGTAAATGTTGTAAAAAGATTTTATATGACCATCAATTTTCTATAACATTGTTTTTTTTTATCTAGTTATAAACAAGTTGAATCCAGAACTTGTTTCTAGCTTTCGAAACTCTATGTTCAGAGTTTTCATTGTATTTGACCTGGTAATGACCACACGTCTTTTCTTGAAATTATCTTCGTCGAACGAAACCACGTTCTTTGCTTTTGCACACTGCCGTAGCGTTCCAAATTGTAGCAGCCATAAAATATAACCACTTTAGAAATCATATTTTGTATCAAGTACCAATCAAACTACAAAGTGCAATAAAGGTGCTAAAATCGAATCATAAAATTTTGTTAAATATAGTGCCTTTGTGTCATTGAGTTGTTTTTATTTATGCAATGAGCAAATGTGCTTTTATAGTAAACTAAGCCAATCAATATATGGAATAAGAACTGCTATACAATAGACTTTGCAGTTTATTCACTTTTTATTATCCAGTTGTTCCTTATTTCTACTTTCGTTATTATCTTTTGCTCCAGTTGTAATAATGATTTCATGGTATTATGAGATTCATGTCATGAATTACGTCATTGTGTATATATATCTGTGCTAACTTTTCTTCCATAAGTATGTATAAATATACAATAAGGAACAATAAAATTAATTAAAAAACCATGAGTTCACATCTTGGAACACGTCGATTTAATGAGAGTCTTCTAACGATTACTGGATAAAATATACATAGTTTTAAAAGGATTTTGTCAGAAGCAAATTTTTCAGCAAGACAGCAGGAACCACAGACCTGAAATCAGTTGGTTCAGTAGTTTGAGTAAAAAGCGAAAAAATGAGAAAAAATTTTTTTTTTGTTCGCATGTTCAGACAGATTCACTATTCGGGAAAATATCAGTTTGATTACTTTTCTTATCCCATATTAGCGAGGCTTCTGCTGCTGCATTATCGCTAATAGAGACTTTATATTGGGTTTTTATTTTGTAACTTTCAAAGAAATTCACGAACTACTGGTTTCACCATTCGGGCTACTCCCTTTACGAGACTTAATGAGGTACATACCTGAAAACACAGATTCACAAGCATATGTAGATGAAAACATGGAAAGTAATCCAGTTGCAAAGTTTTTAAGATATATACGTAAAATTTTCGGAAATGGCATCCAAATCACGCAAATAGTTCGTTTTCTGCACTTCTCTCTTGTATTCCCTCCCTAATCGCTTATATTTCATTTGAAATCAATTTATAACAGTAATTTGGCAAGTAACCATAACCAACATAAGCTGTACAACTTCATAAATCAAACATAAATGAGGAAAAATGGTGGCACAGATTAACTATATTACGTAAGAATGTGATCAAATGAATGCTGCGCCCTTCTCGACATGATTTCTCGGAGCTCACTCATTTGTTACATCATAATGTATTTTTTTGTATCAAATGTCATGGAAGGACAAACAGCGTTTAAATAAATAAAAGAATAAATGAACACCTAGTTTAATCAGATAATCCACAGTCTTGAAACTTTTTTCTGAATAAGAATGATATAGTTTCCGAGGATTCGCTCGCGTGCCGAATAAATGGGCTCGCGTGCCAGGGGTTGCCACTAGGTCATATTTTAAAGAGGGGGCTTATATCAAAATCATTTTCAAAATTCAGGCTAGGTCTTATTTTCGGAGAAACACGATATGTACGCTTTGGGCTTTCGATTAAATTGAACAACACGTCATTCATAAAAGGCATTTGTCTGAACGAAATCTTAACTAATTCAGACGAATTCCCACGTTCGAATGTTGCTTAGCTCAAACTATTTACGTTTATAAGCCAATCTTGGCAACTACTCGGTAACTGGAAGCGCCCTTTCTATACATTGGGGGGGGGGGGGCTACCACTGTTAAGGTTGCCAGGATCGATAGCGGCTCTATGACACGACTAGGGATTGTTTTCTCGAATGCCAAGATTTCGTTGTTGTATTTTTGTCAAAAATCACTGATATTTCCGTAAAATCCAGGTTTTAAAAATATGTACAAAGAAAAATTTTATTACATTCAATAACGTGAATCTATTCTCGTTGAAGAACTGTACCTAGTTTCTTCTAACACACTGCTTCATCTACTAGTTACGACATTCTCTTCTGAGTTGCTGGACGTCATAGATATATATAAAAATTATCCTACTTGCTCACTCATGCAGTGCTAAAAGTTCCGCTGTTTCTTTCGAATGAACTGGTGAAATCGAACTCTGACAAGCTATTAATATTGAATTGATCTTGTTTCTGCCCCCTAAGACATTAGAGCGACACCTTGCGTTTCGACAAATGGTGAACCTAAATGCTGGTCTTTTGCATATTTAGTATACTTTTTCTATTTCTCATGTTGGCACATACAAGCTGATTTATAAACGACCAAATTATGAAACCAGACTTGTTGACATGTACCGGAACGACAAAGTTCTGAAACGAAGGTGTGATTAAATGCCGGATACTGCGATATGTAACAAGGCAACGTTGCAGAGACTAGTTTTTGATCACAGAAATTAGCCTCAATGTTGTCGAGAAAACCGAATCCTTTTATTCACTAATTGTGCAATATATTCCTCTAGCGTAGTTACCCCCGATATAGTACCCGATACATATTTTCACGGCACATCTCAATGAAAACATTTGAAAAACAGTACTTGAAAAGATATAGCAAAATATACGAAGCTGTGTCGTATGAAAATATTTTGATAATCCCAGCATGTCTGTAAATTAATGGATGCAGTGGTTCTTTTGTTTCTGGCAAAATCACCAAAAAAAAATGCAATATTGGACATTGGACACGAAATGGACCAATAGTTTGTTTTAGTATTAGATTGTTGTTGTTGTTAGAATTCTTTTTCTTGTTGTGTGTGATGACGTCATCTAATTGAAACAAACGCGCACCTTGTGGTGGTTCCGCCTACGCACTATTTGCGATGTGGTGATCAGTCGAAGTCGCGGAAACTACTGTACCGTACCTGTACTGCGAAAGATTAAATACTCGTACTACTACATTCGTGTTCATGCTTTTGTTTGATTGAGACGAACTTCCACCGCCGAAACCGAAACCACCTCACTCCTCGATTTTCACACTCATGTTTTGTTGTTCAGCAATCGTTTCGCGTAATCAAAAAGTGAAATCGTTTAGTAGATTATTTTTTATAATATAGAGCAACTATTCCATTATTACTATCTTCATTTATTCATACGTGAAGTTAATACACAATTGAATATTCCGACAGTTTAAAAGAAAGGCTAGGATAATGTAAAAATGAGTGAAGCCGTCTAAGTTCTTCAAAATGATTAGTACTACGATGTACAACTATACGGTCTAACGTTATTTATCATGCAACATTATACTATTGGCATAATGGCCATCCATATCCAACTGTACACGATACATTATATCAGAGCTCGACTTTTCTTGTCCATTCTTGAATCGAAAACCCAATAGAAAGTTAATTTTTCTTGGGCAGCATGCATTAATGGAAAAGAAGTGGCATACATAATGTGTGTCACTATCCCGAGTTAATAGACGGCATCAATGAAAATGATATATTGAAATAATAATTAAGCACTCAGTCTTATGCAATATGGTGATGATGATCCCAATCAGGAAACATATAATCATCGTTTATTTCAGCCATTTTGACTCGTTACTCAGCTTTTCCAATCTTTTGGTAAAGACAACATGAGAACACCATCGCCAAGAGCTAGAAATACATAAATTGATTAATACTAAATCACAATAAATAATTACATAATTGCATATAATAGATAATAAAAAATAAATAATTGTTCATAAAAGTCACGTTCAAAGTAGATTAGTACGGTATATATATACATAATAAAACTTTATTTATTAACCCAGTACAATCACGATCATCGGGCAATATACTGAACATAAAGCCCAATGTGAAACGAGAACAACACAAATGACTTCAGTACTTTAGATCAAAAATTACCTCGATTAGAAGGATTCCAAGAGAAATTCCACTCAGTATCCAGAACATTTTCGAAATTGAGTTGCTGCATCCATGCTCATAGGCCAAAGTTACATTGCACTTTTGGGGCATTCCCGCACAACATGATTTTGGTATGTCCTTTCCCCAGTCTCCTGGTCCATCAATTCCGCAGCATTTGAACTGTAGTGAAAATACAATACATTTATTCAGTATATTCAAATATCTGCTATGTTTCATTACTGATTAATATATTATGGGCTCAGCTGGTCAATTTTTGCAGGTGGCATTATAGTATTCTTGCTTGGAAAGGTGATTTGGAAATGTACCTCTGTATGCAACTCATCCCAACCCTTTTTAACATCTGCGTCGGTTTTGTAGTCGTCCATCTGCTCTCTAATGAGGTCCATACTTTTTGATCTGTACACGATTGCCAATATTGCCCCGACCAGTTGTATCAAGAACAGGACAAGGATGATGGCGAAGAACTGAATAACGAAAAAATATGTGAGTGAGATAGTTAGTTATACGCTAAGGTTATTCTAAAATGGTTTCACAATTTTGAGTAAGTTTTGGGTAGTGACGTGAGAAATTCGAATCGAATTTTTCGGTTTATAACGTTGCTGCATAGGTCAGAGCAAATTACTTCATCGTTCAATTATTCAGTTGCTAGATTCTATCTCTTTGACTATTTTAAGCTCATAATAAGCTCATATGGTTTTAATGTTATATATGACTTCGAGTAAAAACGCAAACATTGTAATAGTAAAATATGATCACCTTTTTATAACTGATGAACGGGGGTACAGAAAAAGAGAACTTATTGGTATTATTAGGCGTTTGATTAACAACAATTGTTTTTTTATTCAAATTTTGTTAAGATTAATTTAATTGATGTTCTTAAGATACGTGTAACGGTACATCGTACGCCGTAGGCTACAGCAATACATCATCTGGCTGCGTATAAGTAAAATTAAAACCACATTTAAGATGCCTGTGGCAAATAGTAATCAAACAAGTATATAATTAAAAAAGTTAGTGAGTAGGTGTGGGAAGTAAATACGTATATAAGTTGACGTTGGCAATTGGCATCTAAATAAAGAACATCATCTTAATTTTGTAAAATTGTTGAATCATGAATTGTCGAATCTTGAATCATCAATACTTTTCGTTCTTATTAATTTTATTAGTTTTAATTTGCAAATTTGGCAAACATAAATACATTGGACGTAAATACACCAATGCACACCACAACATTTCCTATGAGAATTAGGTGTATATATATGGTTATTACATCAAATTTAAAAGTATTTTATTTTCAGTGATACAAAAATACATTCCTACTATGCAATCTGTATGCAAATAACTAGAACGACAGAAATGGACAAATAAAACAGTAAGTTGTTATAAACGCCTCGTCCGAGCGTCCATTACATTTGGGTTCGTTCACATAAACATATCTAATTTCTAAAAATAAGCGAGAAATATTTATAATGTATGAACTATAGCCATGCTAGCAATAAATTCGTATTAAATCATACTGATTTTGGTAATGTTTTGGAATGTGGTCTACTTCTGCACTGGACAACAACTTTTGTAATAGATTATGGACCGTTTTAGATAGAATTCACGAGAGATGTGATTCTATATTATCTTTGAAATTTAGTGATGTGGAGAGTGCGATGTGCATAAGATGTCATTAACACACCGATATCTTGAGTAATTAAAATTAATTACAACAGCATTAGCACCAATATGACAATATGGCCTACATTTTTAAGACAAGTAGGTATGAATTACTTTGAAGTGATATTACAAGTCATTATTGCTTCTAGAATGAAGAAATGTAACGCATTACAATATTCTTAAATTGAGGTATTTGTGAATCGAATTTCAAACAAGGGGAATATCAAACGCTGCAGCTGTTAGATTGATAGAGTTTCCCCTCAGCGCTCCTCCTGGGTGCATATTTTACAGCAGTAAAAAAACAGCAGCATTATTACTATATATGTAAATGGCTTATTTATCATAGCACAATAAGGCTCCATGCTCCGTGTAGCGTTATACATATTTATATTAAACAACTGGAGATAATTATACTGTTAGAAGTTCTGGCATATTGCAATTTGGTTTGTGAGCCAAGTACGATTTATGTATGACAATTTATTAATAGAACACAAAGCGTTAAATGCCGTATGTTCGATACTCGATACTTATATTTAGAACAGATATCACATACCGTTCCCAAGAGGCATCGACTTTCTTTAATTGCTCCACAGCAGCCAAGGAACCCAATCAGAAACACTGCTGCTCCAATTGCTATTATAATGTAGATGCCAGAAAATATCGCTGGATCTGAAGACACCATATTCTTGAACGAATCTGCGTCAACCACAACCCAAATTCCAACGGCGAGCATAGCTGCACCTGCAAGCTGAATAGTAGAGCGTGCTTTATTTTCATTTTATTTTTATTTGTGCTTTATTAAAGACATTGCAAAACGGTGACTAGCACATAATGCAAATATAGCTGTTACATTGTTTTATCTATACAGCTTGCACAACCACTTAAGTTTGCTGAGAGAGTTTAGGTTTCAGAAGTGTGAAAAAAATTGTTGTCAAATTCAAGTAGTAACACGATAATGTTAAAAAAAAATACTATCTAAATTTAGCATCTCAGTTGCGTTTGAAGTTATAATTTAGAAAATCGTAGTTACGGAAAAGATGTTATTAAACGAACCAGCCATTGAATTAATTTTTTTTCATTCATAATTTCAATTTTGTTGTGAAACCCGTTCTGAATATATCTTAACCAGGTTTGTTGTTTTTTAATCAGAAATTGTTCAAGTATTTTTACTTCATTTAATACATATGTGGGGGCAAAAATGGTATCAATAAATTCCAATTTGCAATTTAAAAAAATGTTAAGTTTTTATGGAGTCTTTAAAAACCTTCAATAATAATATAAGTAATGCGTATAATCATGTATTCGTTCAATTACTCATTCAAAAATCGTTGCTTTTGGCAATCGAATAAATTTAAATGTCAATTCTTAAGTTCCATGTTATGTCAAATGCTTGAGACGAAAAATGTGGAGGTAAGATATTGATCATATTTCCTTGACGGCCGGCTATCTCAGAAAAACATGGTTCGAAGAAAATCGCAACTGCGACGCCTTAGATTTGATGCTGAAGGTTACCAAAAACGTTACGTATTTTCGTGACTTTTTTGCAAAAACTCTCTTCGTTGCATTTATCATTCTGATCGATATACAAAAAGCCATGCAGATTACAATTTCGAGTGTGGTGCATAAGTAAAGCTTATCTAGATGCCACAACCTATATTGGCCAAGTTAGTCATGATATCGTATCCCTATTTCGCGTCGAGTGATAAATAATTTAGGCATCGGAAAATGATCGGTGCATTACATATCAAACCTTTAATTTAAAACAAAGGCGAAACCTATCTTCGGAAGGCGTTTTTCAATACCACAAGATGTACTTTTTCTACTTACTTGTTTCTCATCATAAACTTATATGTATCATTTTTTTATACAGTTGCTTAACCACAAAGAAACCTTTAAATGTATCATCTCGGTTAATACATAAATTTGATGTGAACGAGATCAAATTTAAAAATATTATGAAAGTGGATCTTTCCAATTCAGATTAAACAAATTTACTCACAGCCATTAATTTATATCAAGCAAATTCAACAATATAATGGTCACTGGGCACGTCACCGTTAATAGAGTTTTTCCATATTGAATAGATGGTTTTAGTGAAAAATGGCATAGTTTTATTTTTCATAAATCTTCATTATAGTTAACTTTGCTGTTTTAAACTCAGTTTTGTCGGTATTAGTCGGTTTGGCATACTCCAACCAAATTATTCTACCGGGAGTGAGATGTTGGGCATACATACTTAGAAATTGGAACATATCAGAAAAAAACTTAAGATTTCAAATCCACGATGCCAAAAAAAATCAAACAAAAATTTAATAATATAGGTTTGGTAAGATAAAGAGTGTAACATTTCGTTTATTATATTAAAAAAAACGCCTTCTCAAAATTGAAGTTAACAGGACTAACAAACTCAATATGGATTCGGAATATGAACGCTGAGATATATTTAGAACGATATTGCATGAATTGCACGCATTCGTGAGAGCGATCCTTTATTGCTTAGCTCTTTTATTCTACAGTGCAAGTTATGTTTGAAAATAGAATTTAGAAATTTTATCTCCAGTATTTCTCTCAATAAAATGCAGTTATTTTCTATACAGAAATCAAGAAAACGATTGCTACCGGTACGTGGATGTTTACACGTCAAATATAATTAAATATACGGGACAAAATGAAACACATAAATGTAGTAAACAAACATTACTTACAAATATCAAGAAATTGACGAAAAACATCATATATTTGATGAGAGTCATTCCGCAACCCATTTTTCACGTTTTTGGTCTTTTCCAGCCAAGATATGTAAATGGGCGTTGTCGGATCCGTCCGTCGAATACTAACTATCACACTACTCTGATTGCAGCTGGCAAAACGGCGCTCGTGTACGTACTGACGTGCCTAACAAAACGAGAGACTACAGACAGAAACGTTCTCCGTCGGCTCTAGTGACATATACGATGAACTTTTTCAACGAGCTTTTATACCGGTTTAATTTTATTGATAATTATCCCGCCAAACTTGAATGAATGATATAATTTATTAAACTTTGTGAAATGATTAATGTTTTTATGAGATTAAACCCGTGGGAGTACTCACATTCATTAGGCGAATTACATCATTTCTTGCTCTGGGAATCATCAATAGATACAGAAAAAGACGTTTTTTGTCATAAATATAAAAAAGGTCGGTAAAATATTTTATATGAGTTCCAGAATAACTTTTGTTAGTGAGAACTGTATATCGTCAGCCGTTGAACTCAGTTAACCGCCGAGTTAAATTCCAATAATTCAACAGGGAATTACTGTTTACCGCTTGCCTACGATCAGATTAACAGTAGACCAAGGTTATTTTGTCGGCAAAAAATCGCCCTTGAGGCAATTGCCCGGATTGTTGAAAAACTTAAAACAATGCAAGCAGGTCTTGCATGTTTCAACATAGAAGCTTTTAATGAAATACCGATTTGGCATTCCAACCATACCTATTTTTGGGGAATTAAAAACATGATATGGAATGGAACATGGAATTAAAAACGCCTACGAATGAAAAACAAAGTATCGCAAACGATGTACATTGAACAACACCCGAAGATCATTTCATCTCATTATTTTGTACATTGCAAAAATAGGGGTTTCCGAGCGCAATTTTCACTCAAATTTGTAATATTCCAAACTTTAAAGAGGTTTGTTGTATTTGGTCAGAGTATTTTTGTACTACGTTGTATTTAGATAATATAATTTTTTTTTTTTCAGGATTCGTTTGTTGGCTCCCAGCTGAAAGAATGGTCTGGTTTAACAACATGATTAGGAGATCAGCGAACCTGTTAGCATTAATCAGTTTATTTGCTGAAAAAATATGACTTTTTGTAACAGAACCGGGTGAAAATTATCACTTGTGTGACGGAACCGGCTGACGAAAAATTTGAATTCCACACTGCATGAAACCCATTCAAAAGTATTAGCTGTTAGAAGCCATTATTTAGGCACAAAACTGGAATAATTTAATCTATCGTTTAGTACCTGTCCGTGTGTAAATATTCTGTCTGTTTGATCGCTGCGAACTTGGGCCAGGACCTGACTCTATTATTCTGTTGATAAAAACGATGATAAAAAGATCTATTTACTACTCAATGATATCAGAGATGCTATATGTTGAAAAGTTGAACATATACTTCTGTCTTTAGTTTTAGAATTACGCCGATTACGACGTAAATCAATCAGTTTATTTACGTCATCTGAGATATAGAAAACGTTCAAAATAGTCTTATTAATGATTAAAATGAACTTTGATCAACAACAATATATGACATTTCTAAAAATTTGTTTGCAGCGTAATCGTCTTATTGAACTTACAATCATTTGCAATTATGCTGCACGCTTGAAAACGGCGTCACCAACAATCAATAGTTTCTCGATTTAAAAGAAAAAGAAATTAATCATCATTAATCGTGTGATAATAAAGAATTTATTGCAGCAAAGATTTTAAACGATTTACCAACGCGAACGACAAAATCTTTTGCACCCGCATTTGACCAACTTGATTCCTATTTTAATAAATATTTATTGAGCCGGAATTGAAATCTGGTTTACTAAGTCGATATAAAATATATAATTATTATGTTCTATTGCCTTCCTTTCCCTCGGGAAATTTAAATTTCTAACTCTTTAATTCGTGTAAATCTTGCAAATCTTACCGCATGTCACTCCTCTAGCGTAAAGAATGGAGAAGGAAAGGAGAAAGAAGCTACTTAACATGGCGCAAAGTGGCCTACACATACTTCATGAAACACAAGGTCTAGTCTTTATAGATAAATATGGACAAAAAATTTATAATATCAAGGTAAAGATGTCGCTAACAGGTCATGCAAAACCGAAAATACAATTCACTGGTTCACTTTCAAATTAGAAGTTGATATTTCGTCTTCCATTTTTCTAATTTACATCTCTCTCCTATCCGGAACGAAACGACTCGATTTATAATCTATAGCGTCATCTAACGGTGGCTATAGAATTGTGGGTAATACACAGAGATACTCGTGTGATTGATCTTTAAAATTTTGTAAAAAAAATTACATTATCCGCCATAAAGTTAGTTCTTCGACTGTACTAAACATGAGACGTTGCCAATACTCAGTCGTCTTAAACAGATGAAACATAACAGTACACGATAAATAGTCTGTACTCCCAAGTTCAAGTATGTGTACATGATTAGGGTTAGATCATAATTTTCTCCCGATTTCATTTATTTTAGTTTTATTACGAGTTCGGGGACTGTCTGTGTTAGCCAAGTAAATATCTCCCTGCCCATAGGTTTTTACACAACTTGATGTAAAACAGGCGAACAAAATTCGTTACCTCCATATTGGTACACATACTTCTGGAGCGCCAATTAGTCATTGCAACCTCGGGGAAAACTATCATTTATTGTCTTCCTTAACGTCAACTGAGGCTCGATAATTGGGAGACCTTCGGGTCGTAAACTTACGTTTCGATTCTATTTCTACAAATCTTACATAATTTTATCAATTCTTGCAACGAAATAATAATATGCATAGGAATCGTCACTGACTTCCATATTATGATCTGCATCAACTAATCTGAATGTCCCCAAAAAAACGAAGTCTCCGGAAAATAGGTGGTTTCAGTATTCAACTTGTAACTATGAGAACACGTTTGGCATTATTTTGTACGTAAAAACGTTTCCGTAGCTGACCAGAACCACTGATTGAATGCATTGATGTGCGAGTTCTTACTATTGAGACGCGAAGATATATGCAGTTCGTTCTCAGTCATTATTTGAAAATCCACCAAAATAAAAAAGACAGCTTTCGCATTCAACGATTTTAAGCAAAATTTGTCATTGTTTGACAGTCTTCCTTGTCCTGCCTTGGGCAGTAGCGACAATAAAAATAGTGCCCTAACCCGACAGCATCACCGACCCACCATGACATTTTCATGGACTTCCGAGTTTCTCCTGTGGCCCTTCATCGGCTTATATCCATTAGACGTGGGCTAATTTGGGCATTTGCAAAAAACTAGGTATATATATTATGCCCGGGAGCCCTGAAACTAAATTAATGCCCCAATCCTTGTTTCCAAAAAACGTATATATCCACCATTGCCTTACAGTCGAGTAAGATGCCTGGACCCTTATCTTGGCATATGCAGCCATAGTACCCAGAGTGGTAACATCGTTTTACCCCATTTTATCTTCAGCAACGCCGATGATTGTAATAAATGTGACTAAATCAGACTCCATGTCACAAAAATGCATTTGATATTATTGTGGAGCGATAACGTTAGATCTGAATTGTTCCCAGGTTGTCTCGGACATTCCAATAAAAACCGCGCCTTCACCTTTATTCTTGTAAGTTGCATAAACCCGACTAACCCGGATTCTGAGAATCCTTTAGGCCTTTCAATTGGTGTTTGAGCAGTATACATCCCCACGCTAACTATTTTTCTCTTCGCCTCGCACACTTTCTATTCGTATTATTGCGATACAAAGTATATTGTATGTACAAAATAAAAGCATCTCAACATCTAAGAATGAATGTGGTCGAGCGTTAAAGCAAGTTTAAATCTAGCAGCTGGATTGCTGGATTCGACGTTGTCGCAGGACGCCTTTAAGACAAGTTCAGGTATTTTATTTTTTAACTAGCAACAGGTGTATTATTTCAACATTATTAATTTTTATAGTTAGGGGTAAAGTAATCTGCCGATGGGCCAAAATATTCAAACTCGAAAACTTTCTGGCATTCACTCCGGCAGTCTGCGAGTCGAGCCTTACTGGAGCCGACATTGACGTGGGGTCAGGCTTGGAATTTGCGTCAGAATGGTGTTTGAAATCAACAAAGAAACATTTGATCTCCAAATAAGCCTTCAATTTCGAAAAACAGTTTGTAACCCTAATATAACTTTGGTAGAGAAATACAACCAACGAAAACGTCCAAATTCAAATGGGAAATTCAATTCTATGGTGAAGCGTTACAATCGTTGTTTCATTTTCGGGACATAAACCGTCAACTATAGCGTTGTCACCTACGCAATGTGGAATGGCGCGCATGAAAGCGGAAACCGGAGTCACAATTCACTTGCATAACTGTAGCTATTCATCCACTGCTTGAATAACGCAACTCGTAAATGAGTCATAAGAAAATATATACATAAAACAGTTTTTATGTGTCTGTAAGTCCAGGAATGATATCGACATAGTACAGAAATAAAATGAATGAAACACAAGAGAAAAAACAAATCAATATCCCACAACACCATGTCAACAATGATTTGGAAATGTGATATAATGTATTGCAATGCACCAAAGTGCAATCAGTGCAATATATTTTACATCCAAGACTGCACAAAGTGGAGTAAGAGTTTTATTTTAAAAGGCATGCGCAGTAAATATGATGATTCAAATGGCTTAAAGGCGGAAACGTGCGTTGACGTTCGCTTCCTGAGATTAAAACGCTTTTTTGTTAAGTTTATTATATTCTATTGTTTACTGTTTTATCAGTAATATTGGGAACATAAATGTTTATTGCATCTGAAACCATAAAATGACTGCAAAGGGTATAAAAATAACAGCAACTGAATAAAATAATGCTTCCCGTGCTCAAAAGATCAATAAAACAAAATATAAATGTGTTCAAAAAATCTTGGCAAGAATGTTTTATTTGTTCTTAACATCATCAAATCATCGATTCATACCCATCAAGTTCGTTTCATGTATGAGATAACAGGGATCTACGGTGATGAAATATGATTGATCGGGCATGGTCTGTGATAAGTTCATAAACTGAAATTAACGATTATTCTCATTGAAGATTAAGCAAAACCCTCAGATTCTCCGATACTTCGATACATGCAGCAAGAGAAGATCATCGCCAGAAGCTGAAATGCAAAAAACATTTAATAGTCATCAAAACGGCACGAATTTTAAGATTACTTTTTCTATAATCGCTTTTACAGTGAACCCATATCATGGTCGTCGTGCTCAGTTAAAATTGAAATTCATAATAATTAAAAGTACCTATAAATTGGAAATGACCAAACTATACAAATGTATGAAAAATACATAAAACAAAATTCTTAATTGAGAAATATTCGAAAAGTTTTTACAAACTCAGATATTCAAGATTACTTTCTGTAAATATTTGCTTCTCGCAGTGAAAACAAGATTTATTTATGATATTTTCAATTCATGATTTTCCCATAAAATTTAAATTACAATCAGATACATCTGAAATATTTAGGTATGATTTATTACATCACAGATTTCTAGAAGACCAAGAATTTGGAAATGTGTATACCTATTTCTGTGAGTAAAGAGGTAATAGGAATGCATATAGATTACCATCAAAATAACCCTTTTACTTTGGTTCAATGATAACCATGTAGCGTATACTACCTATGTAATGTTACATAAAAGGGAATCGTTTAAATGTATTGCATATTGTCATAAACATACACACAGCAGACGCATACACATGCCAAATACAGAAATAATTCGGATCAATACATTCGCGTCAAGTGTCCATTTTTTGTTTGTTTTCCAGACGTTTTTAACAAACCATTGAATTTTAAAAAGGGCATAATTAAAATCATACACGCAAATAAAATAACGCAATGCGCAACTGACAAGCATGCGAGTATGGAACGTGCACGAATTTAGTCCATTTTAGTACATACACTGACTAACGTCAGACATCGTGACTAACTCAACGAGCAGTAATTAATCAAAGTACGATATTGACATTAAAATAGAAATGTTAACTTTTCGAAACAACCGGTTTGAGGTTACTGTAGTGAGAATTTTAACGCATTTGCTTTTATCGTGTTTGAAAATTAGTTATCCATCACATTGCACGTCTTGATAGCTGTCGAAGATGATGCTATCACATTGGTAGCATATGGCATATCATAATTACTGGAAAACGACTGCTAACATAAATAGCAATGCAAAACCGTAATGCTTCCCAAACTATTTCTTAAAACAAAAAGGAGAGGAAATATTTTGGGAGAAAATTGTTCTGTAATCTAAATACCCGACAATTTATTTGAGATAAATTTCTCCAAAAATGAAATGTAAATGCCGCAAACAAAAGTCACAGAAATTTACATTCAAATCTACTATCTTATACATACCTCAATCACAAGAATTCCAAGAGCAATACCAGCGACCACCCAGAACATTGCAGCAATGGTTTCTTTACAACCAGTTGTAAATATCTTATCTGGCGTACATGCCTTGTCTTCGGGACAGCAAGATACTGGGGGATTTGGAGACCAGTCGTCCGGCCCATCAATACCACAGCAGGTGAACTATGAAGTAAAAATTAAATTGAATTTTATTTAGGAAACATAGATGAAAGTAGACGCAATCACACTGTTAAACGAATTAGTAAGACATTCTAACCACAACAAGGTGGCTGGCTGGGAGATAATGGATATCAATATAACTGTCATAAATGTGTTATGTGTAATGCTCATTATTTATGAAATGTTAACATGCCCTCACTAAATTTAGTAAGTATAATTACATTATTTTGTCCGTTACAATAACAAAAACGACAACTTGAGATAAATAGAATATAACATAATGTAAATATTAGAGAAAATATTAGGAAAATCGAATAACATAGTCATAATAATGATATTTAGTAAGATATCACCATTTTCTATCCGCTATCTCCGATGGCAAAGTGTTAAATCTGAAAAAAAGGCATGTCAACTGAACTTACCGCCTGTTGGAAAGCATCCCAGTCCGTGTTATTGGTTCTCATGGTTTCACGAGCAGCTTGTTCCGCCTGAGTACGAAGCACGATTGCCAGGACTGCCCCAACGATTTGAATAATGAAGAGAATCAAAACGAGTGCAAAGAACTGAAAACAAAAATAAACGGACCGATTATGTTTTGCATTTGTACATAATGAAGAATTGTTAATACCATCAACAAAAATGAAAATATCGCTTCATTATGACTATGAGATGATTTATACATTAGAATTTTACAGTCACGAGAAGTCAATCCTATCGTCTTACGAATCAAAATTACTACGATTATCAGGTAATTGAAGGCGTTGTTTGCCGTGGGCTATATTACCACACCTATAGTTCTCTCACCTATGTTTACCCATTGGTTATCGTTAATCAGTTACGTGCCGCACATAAATACCACTTTCGGAAACGAATCAACGTCAGTTGACGCATGATCGATGCAACAAAATAAGTCATAAATCACAAGAAAGAAAGATTTGAGCGACTCGTAAAACTCAAACGATATCACCATACGACCTTGCATTATCAAACGTTATACGTGGTACATTACTTACGGCCAAGTACGAGAACTGTAAAAGGTAATTAACACGAAGGAATGTGGGAATAAGTCACAGATGAATGGCCATGAACGCATTACGTTCAGATTTGAACATCGTACTTTTGTGAAACTTATTTCAAGTCATGTGTAACCCGTGGTAACAACTAAAACTGTAAATCCTATGCACTTATATTAGTTAATGGAACACCCTTTTTATTACCAGTTATAACAATGTGGAAAACGTTTGTGTGTTCAAACTACCCTTAACGCACAAATCCAAATACATAATATAATACTCTATATTGTTTGCTTTTGTATTTTTTGATTCAGTGCCTGCTTACCGTTGCCAACAAGCATCTGTTTTCATTGACGGCTCCGCAACAACCCAAAAATCCAATAAGGAATAGAGCCGCTCCTACTGCAATAATGATATAGATAGAGTTGAAAATCAGAGGATCATTCGATACTACTTGCTTGAAAGTTTCGCCAGAAACTGCGGCCCAAATACCGACACCAAGTAGAGCCGCTCCAGCAAGCTGAAATATAAATACATGTTTATTGTTACTTGTTAGCCTACCAAGTATCGTAAAATAGGGACATTTGCACATAAGCATGTGAATAGGTAGGGTGGTCATATGACGACCCTCAAGTACTTGAATTAAATTCCCATTACATATTCCGACATCAGCATCGTACATGTGTACCGTTAAGCTGGTAGATTATACTTAACCCGTTCAAAAGAAATAACAAAAAAAACGATACAAGCAGTGATAGGTGTCGTACGATTGCTATGAATTTTTTAAAGCATGTTCTAAACTTGACCATAACCCGTAGCTAGAACTCAAATGTTGGTACATAATTTCTAGGTTATGTATGCTTAAAATTGATTTAACATTACTCCAACATTGTCACAAGTTAAAGAATAAGTGCACAATGTACTTCCACAATTTGTCATGGATAATTCAACCATTTCCCGAAGAAACGAGAAACGCCATTTTGCAAATTACATGCCATGTCCTGGCTTTGCCTTCAGAACACAATGTCGCAAAAGGAATAAACTAACGCTTGAGGTCGACCACTTTAATTTAAAGAATTGGTAAACGTCAAAATGGCAGGTAGAGTTCAACCTTATCATGCGATCAGTAGTGTAGTAATGGCACGTATACATAATTTACTTCCCCAAAATGCAGTGAAAACGGGTTGGTCGTTTGGTAATGGAATGTATGACTCAGTTTTACAAACGTTTTCTAGCACTCTGTACAATTTGTGAATTTTGACTGAATTTACAATTTACCGCAATCAAACCTTAATATCTTTCCACTACTCCAAACAAAATTGGCAAAACCGATATTCATAGGATTAAATAAAGTGATATGAACGATACTTACAAAAATAAGCAAGTTGAAAAAGAACATCAAATATTTAATGCATGTCATTCCGCCACTCTCCATTCTGATGTTTTTTATTTTACTCGGTTTGTAGATTTAAAAAGGGTAAAAACTAGATTTACAAGTTAAATAACGAGATATATCTGGAATTAAAAGAGCGATATGGTTAGACTCCTTACCTTAACTATTAAAATAACAACGCTAACGAACCTGGAGTGAATTCTTAATGTCTTAAAAAGGACTCTCCCTACGTATGGTTGATGTACTTGATAAGGGCAAAAAATTACCCGAGTAATCAATATTTTTAGACTTTAATAACTCATTCAACTTCTCTAGATTGGATGGAAAGAAAGCATTAATTTCCGAAAATGAAATTTTGTGGAAATTAAAATATCGATGATTGAAAATGACAAAAATTCAACCATTTGTCAATTAAAATTTATCGCTGATGGAAATCACCGAAGACGAGAGACTGGGAATTTGACGTAAGAGGTAGAATATCAAAACGGGAAAATTGTCACGTGTTAACGTGTTTATCGCAGTTACAAAAAGCCAAAGTCTGCAACACCGAATTTCTTATATGATAAAAAAAAAACGTTGTTTGGGAACCAGAGTCGCTGTAAACGCAATCACTTGGGAACCAAAAACCAAATTAACAATCTGCAACGGAAAAATTATGTCTAAGCTCGTAGAAGAATCAGGTGCCGACTTATAACTATGAAACTCACTCAAATTATTTCATTCAATACCTCGGCTATATAAATCATTATGTCTCGTGCCGTAGAATAACATATATATATATCTATCACTGCGATTTAATGTTCGTAAATATTGAACTGGAAGTATTTTTAAGATACAATATATCTGACTCTGTGCTTGCGTAGTCCTACGTACAAATTTCGAAGTTTGCGTTTGAGTTGGTCGGAACAAAATCTTAAATATGACAAACTGCCATACTCTAACATAATAGCCTCATGACTTGCCCATTAATAGCCTAAGAAGTGCGTCACCAGAACACACGTGACTATTACTTGCTGTGCGTCACCTACTGAAAACGAACTAATCAAAACTGAAAACTTGACTGACCAGGGTGAACCCGGAAGTCAGATGACAATGACCTAAATATCTGAAAATTATGACAAAAACCTGAAGATAACTAATTTAGTTACTATATCGGCATCTCAAAACATGAACATAATCGACAAGCTGGTAACGAAAGTGAAACACAATACAGATCATAAGCAGCGCAATCATGTACCATGCGTCTCACGCTCACCATGTCTCAAACTGTTAAAATCATACACAAATGCTTGCACACGATATCCATATTGCTGACAGCACTGGAGCTATTAGAGCGCAGTTTGGCGATCACCCAGCGTGACAGACGTTGACTTCCTGAGAAATAGCGTGAACTGACGCAACAAATACAACATTAGTCTTGCGGAGCTATCACCACTGAAGGCATAAGCAATTATTGCTCATTTATTATTGTAACTATGGCATTATTCCTATTACCGATATAGAGCGTTATCCAGAACTCGAAGCAAACTAACTAAAGTAAAATCAAAATATTTAAGAGGCAATTAGCTGTGACCTAATACTATGGATTAGCGTTAACAAGCAAGAACTCAATTGTGAATATAATGGTATCACACAAAGCTTCGTTTGACCTCAATCGTAATATGATTATATATTCTCAACAACAATGGCTACTTGCGCATATACGATTACTGACATTATGGTGATTAAAAATGCTAAACGCAAACGCTTAAAGTTCGTTTTCTATATTTATAGAATTCCAAGTAAAAAAAATGGAAACGACAAATTCTTTATCGAAAATCGCAAAAATAGACATATTTTGGCAAATCTCCATATGCGTGACTTTCCGGATAGAAACGTCCTATTGACTGGAATAGGGAAATTCGAAACATTTACTTTTCCTTATATAGACAAACCGCATGCAAATATTTAAAGGGCATTTCGCAATAATGTAGGCCGAGCAGCTCGCAAGTTTCAATAAGCTTTAATCACAACATTCACACATCATACCAACTTCACAATATACTTTCTTATTTTTTGCTTTAGTCGCTTTTGCTGTCTATACTAGGATTTTGTGATAATGACCACATTAGCTACAATTGAACGTACTTGAAGGCACCAGCGCTACTTGATAAAAAAATGTCGAATGTAATCTTGAAGCGATCGCGTTAACTGCAAAATTAGTGCTTTATTTGTTACTATCGTATTTTTTCCCTCCCACTATCATAAGTTAGGTTAGGACAAGATAAACAGAATCAAAGAAGCAGATAACAGGCCGTGTAACAACAGGATAGTACCCTACATATCCCCGTAGAATTCGCCACAATTAAGATCATTTTTTTAATTCATCAAAAAATCGTTATCTGCGACGATGCGCAGTCTACTAATAATGATCACGTGCATTAGGGCTAGGCAACTCAGTGATATTGCTCTGATTAATCGCATGCTGCTAAAGCTATATTTCGCGCAACCCAAATCACTGAACACGATATGTACTGCTTGCTACATACAATAGTACTCCTTTAAGCTATAGTCTATATCGGCCTCACCCAATGCTAACCTTAAGTTTCGTAAAATGCCGCAAATACTTCCTCCTAGTTGAAATGTTCAACACAAACAACAACCTGACCACAAGGCATAGCTTGATAGAACATTTAAACGTTACGCCGCAGGCAACGCGAATCAACTGCGAGCATTTCAATTCTGGCCAAGCAGCACCTATTGCTTTGTGAAGCATGTCTCGATTACGCTTCGCTGCGTTTATCTTCAGCAGGTGCAATTTAGTGCATGCCAAATATGTACTGGAACTGGAGGAGTACGCGCCGCGCCAAAGCGGATATTGTGCGTTAAATGACTCGACGTTTCAGTGCTAACATAAGGAGACTTCGAAAATAGATGTTTTCGTTGCATATTAAAGAAAGTCAAAAATGGCAAGTTAATAAAGTCACTGTCCAAGAAGAGTTTATCGACGGTCTACAATTGACAAATCATATATTTTAATCCATCAATTTTTGACTGATTGAAAATAGGTTACTAAATTATTAAGATGTCATATCTCAATCGTCTACTAGCACTAGTGTGAAAGCGTGGTCACTGTACGATATGCCTATGTTTGATGTTTCGTTTCTAATGGTTATAACCTCATGAACCGTCATTAACCAACTCAGCATTGGAGCATTTCTTCGACAACTACCATATCATAAAAGTTAAGAAGATTTCATTGGAAGTTTGAATATGGGGTGGGAGTGCGTGACAATTTCGCCAGCAATATTTCATGTAGGTCATCCTTTTTCCATATGATTTCAGGTACAAGAATTACCCTTTCTTTTGTAATTTAGTTCAAGTCAAATTTTGAAGACATCAATAAGTTTCGCCCAATTACTTGGTTTAAAATTCTTGATGAACTGTCATGTTGTTTTGTCTTGAAGCAATATTTAAAATTAATATGTAGTAATATTCAAGAAAAACAGAACGTTGACAAATTCAGATCATAACAAATGTAGGATAAGTTCGCGAGTTTGATTCAAATACAACGTACTAAATCGTGAGGCGATGTCAAATATGTCGAACAAAAAGAATTCAGAATCAGCAATCACTCCAAGAATTGGATAAATTTATGTGTATGGGGCCGATTTCTGAATTTTGTCAAAGAAAACATCAGTATAGATTAGATATATCATTAGCATTATTAGATTAACTGTCACCAGAAATATTAGCAACTTGGTTTGTTATGAGAAACTGTTCAACTGCGACCATGTCCTTTCTTACCTATATCAACGATAACCGGTACCGTGATTAAAGCCGCCTTATTGTTAACCACTTTCTGCTGCTATACAAATTACTGACTAACCCTACGGCATCATCCAACTATATACAAAGATTTAAAGTGGACGAAACGATTTCAAAATGCGGGATAAGCGTTTTGCGTTTCTCGGGTTGGTGTTGGGTACACTGCGAAAATAATAACTTGGCACTTCATGTTTGAAGACAGTCAGACACGATAATATGATAATAATTCATAAATATTCAGACACATAATGAAATATGTTAGCCTCTAAAAGTGATGATGCGGCCGATTTCGCAGGTACACTTTAACTACGATACTGAAACAATATTTCCATTGAAATGTATGCCCGTGCATGCGCTCATATTTTGACAATTGGTCTGATATTCCTTTTCTCAATAAATATTTCCAACTGTTCTCCTTAACTTAATTCTTAACTTTCTGTCATAAAAATTCCCTGTTGTGATATTTTAGGTCAAAAACTATTAAAATTGAGTTATCCCGCATACGAATAGTTGGATACTTCGTGCGCTTAGTTTTATTCGGTCCAGTAAATGGCATTCGTAAAATATTCCTGGAATTAAAGAAGTGCGTAAAAGTGAATCATATTATACGGCCTATTAGTCGCGTATTACGAGAACAGCAAATTACGTAAAAATACTAAACTCTCAAGCTGAGATGACGACATTCCATTGCATACAACGCATGGTCGTAATTGGGGTTTCCAAACACGCGTAAGTGACGCAAGGTTTTCAATTTCTTTACCTTCTTATTCAACTAACAGTTTTGAATATTGTACGCGGAAGGATCCCATTCACCATTTATGACTGGGCATACCTGAATAAAATCCAGCGTGACATCTAAACTTTGATGTATGAATTAAGAAAGGATGGCCACGCAAAAACAGCACTTAGCAATGGTCACTTCTCGTTATTGGTCATACAAGCGCTGCTGGTGACGTCACTAATGATTCAGATTCATTTCTCCTATTTGTCGGTATAATATAACATCTTTTATATTGTGAGATTTCAATAAATATATACGGTAGTTAAATTTTGCCAGATTTGGTGAGGAAAGATGTGACCACAAAATGCTTCTAATTTTTATTATTAATCATAGCGAACAATAAACTTTACCAACAGGGGTATTTCGAGTAATGAACCTGATTCTATTTGTACGGACATTAAGCTATTTATCTATTTCATTCGAGAAAGTCAGTAGTGTTTGTTAGTCATTCGTTGCGATTAAATGACTTACAGAATCTTAATCTAACCTTAAATAAACTGTGCGAACTAGCTGTGTTACGGGAGGTCGTGCGTTCAACTGTACAAGATAAAATATACTTTAACAACCTAAAGAAAACCTGACCGTTACTATATACTTGCAAAGTAATTGAATTTGAAAGGAATCTTATAACACTCTTGCTATTGAATTCAAGAAATGCTGTTCTGCACTTTTTTGTAACAGCACTATTAGGGAAGATAGGAGGAAGCTTGTCTGCATCTAAGTGATAGAAACCTGTTTGAACTCTATGATTCACAAATTCTTCGCCATTGTTAGAACAAAGCCTTGGCTTTTAGAGTTAGACGAATGAGATATATCAGTATCAGCAAAACAATGACTACCATGCAAATCCAATCCTTATACTATATTGCGTTCATACTTGACTTACTAAATGTTAAATGTGTCATCAATTTTCATTTTTGGGGTTATTAAACAATGAAATCGAATGGATCGTAATTGACTCAGAATTTATGACGATGTGGAACAAGGAAGTATTTACATAAATTCTCATTCAAAAGGCTGAATGTACCCAACCCAACAAATACTGGGCAGAATGCTCATTTGCTGATTACAAACTCAGAACCGTTCCCAGTTTCAATTTTGGACAAAATATCAATTTGACGTGTCATTAATTTTCACCGCCCATGACACCAAACAATGAACTCGGCTGGACTGTAAGCAACTCGGAGATTAAATACCGAACCCTACAATACATCACAATGCGGAACAGAGGACTTATTTACATAAATCATCAGAGTTTACTCAAAAGCTCATAACAAACGCGATCAATTATACACCGTCCTCAGAGCATTTGAAACCTGTTCTACAAAAAAATGTCCACGAACAAAGTTTACAAACAAAATGTTCGTTGGCTAATTACAAACTCAGACCCACCGTCGGCGTAAATTTTGGGCCAGTGTGATGACCTGGCAAGATCGAACACTTAAGTAACGACAGTTAACTTTATATCAAACAAAAAAATATTCTGCAAATGGCTCGAAAACTGGATGAAACAGGTTCACAGCTTAGATAGATATATATGTCATTTCCTGTCCATATGCTCTTCATTCTGATGTAATATATCCGTGTTACTATTATTGTCTTCACAGATCGAACTTCAGATTCAAGTAAAATCTAGCGTAACTATATATACAGACCTATAATGCAACTAACTAACAACGAATGTGGGCTATACTTTTAGTATTTGAAGAGTTTCGGTGATAAACGCTAATATTTTCTACAAATATTACATTCTCACGCGCGCACCAATGTTTATTTAGAAGACGCCATTGGCACTGTTTATTTTGTGAATTTGATTGAGCGCAGAGTACAAAATAATATACGAAAAGGCATCTAGTATTTTACTTCAGCGAAAAGGTTGTAATCTAAAGATGCTAGACCCAGTAACTAGACCCAGAGAGAGATTGACCTCGTTATACAATTCCTAAACTCGCATAACCCAGAGAGTTGTCTTATTGTTGACCGAATATCACGTCTATACCCACAATTTTACATAGTATGTATAGTACACTTCATAGTCAAATACAATATACGTGCTATCATGCATGTTCGTATTCTAATATCTTTTTCCTATTCAGAAAATAGTTGATACAAAAATTGCACAAATTTTGATCCGTTCCAAAGCAAAAGAAATTTTCATGCTTTATCATATTTACATTGATATAAATAAAACGAGGACAAGACTTGTTGATAAATATTGTGATGAGTAAGTAGATGCTTCTTCTTGTTCAAGGCACCGACTTGTAATTTGCCAAGAATCTGTACAAACAGCACGCAAACACCATCGCAAGGATCTGCAAAAAAAACATATTTCATATTAAATGGGTGAATACAAACATTAGTTTAGTGTATTGATTCACTTAATAGACTTATTATCTCTCGCTCGCCACCTATCCCAAACTCAACAAATTGATATTTTGAAGTTGTTAGACTTGGCTGCAAGAAAAGGAGGAACCAACCGGTAACGAAATCTACAACACGTCTGTTGGGGTGCAGTGAAGAGTATGGGCAATTAACCGAGTCGGTTGTGAGCTGTGGATCTCTACTGGACCTCTGGAGGATATGCCTATAGCCCTATACTCCCGAGTTGCTTGGTTGTTTTTAGTGAGTGTTTGTCACTTTTTTTATTGCTCTAGATTAGAACATTAATAAACAAATTGTACTTGAAAAGAAAAGAGACAAACCTCCACTAGAATGACACCAAGAGCAACAGCACCAACAATCATCTTTCCCTGCAGTAATGTTCCAGCGCATCCTTGTTCGTGTAGATCATCACCTTCACAAGCTGAGTTACTGTACGAAGGATTGGATTTACAGCATGAGTCTGGAACCGGAATTGTTACATTTCCAGTGAAAGTACCATGTCTTCCCCAATCTTTATAGCTGTTGTAACCACAACATTCCATCTAAAATTGTATCAGATAGACAAAAAATAATTATAATGAGACACAATTTCAAACATCTGGACCCGAAGACATGTAGTGTCGTTTTGAACCTCGGGTAATACATCACTCATTAAGTGTTTTCCCCATCCTTCATTTAACAATGGGTATTGGTAGTGTTCGATTCTGGTGTCGGAACCAAATGCGAACAAACTCGATCTTGTCGTTTTAATGAAACAAAACAACATCACATCATGGTTACAGATGCTGTAAATTGGAATACTATGAACAAGGAGAGAATGAAAAAGTGAAAACTACATTTTCATTTCTGAACCGTCTGACACGTGAAGACAACGTAAATAATCTGACCGAAACAAACAAGACCCATGAACTTTATATTGGTATCACGTCAGTTGAAAACACCAAATAACAAGAGTTGATGCTTGCAAAATAGAAAAAAAAAAACTTGAAATGGTAGAGGAGACTTTTAACGTGTAGTTTGTCAAGTGGATGGAATTCGTTAAATTATATATTTTTCAGAAAAACGGACTTACCGTCTCCTGGAGCATATCCCATGATCTTGTGACTGATCTCACTCTATCCGTTTCACCACCCGTATCGTACTCCTTCATGGATTTCAGAGCATATCGTTCAATATTATCTCTCTCAACATAAACCAGAATAGCTCCAGCAACTTCTACAATCAGGATGATCAAGACAAGAACAAAAAACTGAAAGTGATAGAAAAAATGCTGAAAAGTATGTAAAACACATGCTAGTAAATCTTTCATTCCAAAAGCTTTCCAAAAACACTAGCCTACTACAAATAAATATTGTTATTAAACCAAGTTTTTAGGCGAAAAAAGATGGCATATTGTCACCACGATCATCAGAATAAAATAACATCTTGACCAGAGTCGTATTCTGTGCTTGGCTTTGATTTTAAGCCCGGTTCAAAGTCATACGATTGTGAAGCATGTCATCATATGAAACCGTATGTCATAAAAATCTATTGAATTGGATACAACAGTTCATCTTTCGGGCCTACATTGAATAAAGTGTATATTTCAGTCTTCAAAAAGTCAGATCTTCCACAACTATAACCTATGAGCTTTTTAAATGTTGTAGTTTAACTCACTGTTCCCAGCAAGCATCGATTTTTCTTAATAGCTCCGCAACATCCCAGAAATCCAAGGAAAAACAAGGCTGCTCCAACGCCGATGATAACGTAAAACTCGTAAATAGTGATTCGTCCAAGTATTGGCTCAAAGGAACCTTCGTGTATCAAAGCCCATACTCCTACTCCAAGAATTCCTGCTCCGCATATCTGAAAGCATGGATACTGTATTTAAATCTATTATGCAAATCTGACAAAGATGTATCTTGCTAAATAAAATGGATGGTTGCATGGGATTCTTTTATCGAACATTCTTCAATTTTTACCGCTGTATGGTTCTAACTGTTATCCACGATAAGTATGTCATGTGGCAAAATTCTATTCAATTATTGCCTATTTTTTCCTTTTAATAAATATTTGAAATCCCTTACATTAATAAAAAAGGCAATTTTATGAAATTCGGCATTGAATATATGATTCTTCCGTCACACAGATTTCAGTTAGTCATACGCTTGGTAACGCTGTCGTGCGACACTAAGTAAATTCTAACATAAGAAAACCTTGGTTCAACATAATCTTTTTGCATAAACTCAATAAAAATACAAATGGGTTTTTCATTGAGTACAAAAAATATGCCCGAAGTGAAAATTAGAATCATAAATTTCATTATGTAGTATTGATCGTCAGGAGAACGCAAAATATACAGTATTCTGTACATAATTCAGAAATAATTTTTATTCGACTGGTTTATTCTTATGTAAGGGTTCATTGGTCGCAAATTGTACATTGTCGTTTTGCTAAATTATTTTTGTAGATCTTTTTGAGTTTGCTGCTATGAAAATAAACGTTTTCTTCGCAAATAATGGACAAACCGATTTTTTCAGTACCTAAAGATGATAGAAATTACTGGGAGATGACACTTTTTTTATATTTTTTGTGAGTTTACAGGGGCGAATATTTTACCCCAAATAAATATATATTATGAACACACATTGATGGGACATTCAGTGCAATTCTTTTATCATTTACTCTGGACTTCGACTGACATCGCGTGGCCATATTTGCCTTTCGTGTCCATACATTCGATTGCGGCACTGTGCTGCTATCTTGTTTATGTTATGGGCATATTTAAAGAATAAAATATTAATTGTAAGTCTAAATGATACTGAAGTAATATTAAAACAAATAACGACACGGATGATTGAGTACGCTTTGCGGATGTTTGATCTGTTTTACAAATGGACTGTTTGCATGAAGACGCTAAAAAATATTTTTTGCCACTCACACACATTTAGTTTTACATTTATTTTTCGTTTTACTAAGACGAAAACTGATTGATTTACCGGAAGTTTTTTTTAGATTAGGTTGGTAAATAACGGAAAAATATTAATTAAGACAAGCCAGGTTATCATAAATTAAGGAATAAGATGACAGAACGTTGTTAATAAATCATCATCATGATCTTCATGGCTTCTATTTGTAACGGCATGCACTTTATAGCGTAATATAATTTAAATCAATATTTCTATTTCCGCAACGTCTTATACATATGGATGGAAAAATATGATACATTTAAACTATGCGACGCACGTCTATCAACAAGTGTTTCTGACTTATACATCAAATCCTAACTTTGAAATCAACGGAATTTGGATATTATTTTATTTTAACTCATCACATAAGAATAAACACATGTTATAATTGACGTTGGATACATCAAACAGAAAGCTAATAAAATATTTTTTAGCACTTTATTTGACCGATTGTATGAAAACTTGATGCAATTGTCCACTTTCTTTTTGTAATAAATAGTAACAATACAGAGTGTAACTATAAAGCACTATTGCACTATTCTAGAATCTGTAAGTCCCCAGGGCCAGACTGTAATCTGTATCTGAATATCTACTAAAAGTCAATACTTACAAAAAATAGCAAGTTGAAGAAAAACATCAAGTATTTCAGACATGATAACGAAGCAGACTTCATCGCCATAATGTTTTTCAAGAAATCAATTTATAACACTTTAGTTCAATCTGAAAAGAATATCAATCAGCGGATAAAAGTGATCAAGCAGACGTAAATAGAAATTCCAAAGAAATTCTTAACTTCAAAAAAAAAAATCAAGTAACCTCAATCTATTCCGCCTATATTTTTTGATATTACATTTCAAGATACATTGGTGCAGTTGTCAATGTCAATGAACTGGCCTGATTGCAAATCGAAATGCGTTCACATAACCAACCGATGTGAACTTTGTTGTAGTATTCGCGGAAAGCAAGAAAATTACCAAATCTGAAAAAGTGCTCACGATTCGACCCAAAAATATCAATAACTCGGTTTTTAACTACCAGAGCCTTGGATAAATAATTGTTTAATTGTTGTTCTAGATTTATATATTCCCAGAAACTCACGAAACTCTCTATTATCAGGCTTATTGTCTCGCTTAAGCTACCTCGCTGAAAACGCCTAGGATTGATAAAAAAAAGTCTGAAAGAACTAGGCTACACAGACAATTCATTGCACTGTTTTGACGATGATCTACAATGCAAATATAAAATAAAGTCTATTCTAGCTTGCATCTCACATCCTTGCAACTTATCTTGACACAAAATAATCAATCAAATGGCATCATTTCCTTTCATCTCAAAAGCTAAGGCAACACCCGACCAAGCATGATATCGATCCATAAATGCAAGACCGTTTATTTACTTTTGAAAGAAGAATAAATGAGAACTTATGTGTTTCATGCTTGAGACCTAAAATTCTAACGCTTGTTTGAGTTCTAAATACAACATGCACACGTATTTTTACAGCAGGTAACATAAACAGGATTGTGTGAAAAATCGTGTTGAAATATCGAAGTAATCATTCAGTTGATCAGTCTTTTGTTTTAAATTTCAACTTATAGCCATTTCCCGGTTCCTCACACATTGTTGATCAGGATGATGTTATACGAGTACCTGAATGCGCCATCGAGTTTAAATTAGAATCTGGAACTATGTCTTTTCATATCATTGTGATAAAGGGGGGGTTAAACTTCATTCTTGGCCCAAGAAACACAAGACACCCGACTAAAAATAATGGTTTATGTGATTCAGCTTTTTAAAGGTGATTTTTAAGCGCATTCTCAGACGACAAGTATTTTTCTTATTGTCAAGCGCTTAAGGCTGCCACCTGGAACTTTATCACTCATAATCTTGTGGGTAAATCCTCTCGACAACGCCGAGTGCTAAAAAACCTGCTATACTATGCCAATTAATACAGGGTGTTCATAAGCAATTTTAATTTATTTTAATCTGTTTTTATTTAATCTTTTTACTTCTTTTATTGCATCTTTATATTGCCTCTATTAGGTGCACGGAGCACATCAAAATTTTTTTACCTAGTTTAATACAGGACTTCATGAACGCCTTGTATACCTGTAAAACCCTATATTTTTTCATTCACTATAGAATAAAAATGTAATACATGAACTCAACACCACCAGAAAACGAAACTATTGAACATTTATATCCGGGTCATAAATTTTATAGTGATTTTGAAACACACCAAAAATTCAGTGGATCAACTATCAGAATTTAATTTATAATGGTATTAATGTAAAGTTTAATGAACCATTTCGGATTATTGAAGGCTTCCCAGAATCATTCATCCTCATTCAAAAGTGGGGTAAATCAAAAAAACATACCACGTAGAAAAGATTCCGTCCCATCAAAACAATAACCATCCATTTTATTTTCGATACCTATTTTCGATACCGATAATATCCTCACGAAACTTAACCCTGCGTCGTTTAGCTAACGCGTCGTTTTGCGATGTGGTGACATTCTCTCTGCGTCAGGCATACCTGAATGTTTTTCATCTCACGTGTACTCGATATATCCTGTGTTGTTTATATATTTAAATGTTTCATACGGGTCGTTATGAGATTATCTCATAAAATCGAAATATTGTAATTTTATCGTGTGTATGGTATCATGGTATAGATTCAATGTCATTTTTTATATCTTAATAATCAGGAAAAGAATCATACACGTTGATATCAATATTTGTGAAATTCTGTTTTTTATGTCTAAAAATTTTCCGTAGAAACTTTCCTACCTTTCACTTAATAAAGCTTCAAGGCAAGAGAAAGAGAGTGGGCAAGTATGAAAACAATTTGCGAAGACTAGCCATAGCGATGTAATACAGCATATTCGTCTGACCATTGCGAGTGCATAAAGTCGTAATCCAGTGGTCGGCAATCTGTGGGCTATACCGAGCATTTTCTAGTTTTTTGCCTAGTGGTTTTTGTTCATATATCAGACGATCATACGTTAAGTTTATTTCAACTAATCAAATCAAATGTCCCTAACAAGTTTATTACGTGGTTAAATTTACAGTTTCCAACGAAATTGTATGACCTTGAAACTTTTTCCATTTTACTATTTGGACCTTCACCCAAAAAACTGCCATGAGCGAACCTGGCCCATCTATGCCGATCTCATTAAGACAAAAATGGCAGAATGGGGTCTATTTCCTAAAAATCAATGGTCTCTGATTACAATAAATATATTCAAATATATATATACATCTCCTGTCGGGCATGGGGTATACCCAATATCAACTAATCAATAATCCATTTGAGGTAAAATGAATATTCAAGCCTTTTCGTTTGCAAATAAATTGAATAAAAAAAACAGACATAAGATACCAAACTGTAAACATGGAAAACACAAATTTTAATCCAGATAAATATAAGCTGTAATACCAGAAAGAAAGTATAATAACTCCATCCTTTTTTGTTCTGTGCAACAGTTTAACCAGAGACGGTCAATAATTAAAAATTCATTGTGTGACCTGCAGATCGTAGAATTACCCTGTTGCAGCTATTGTTTGTCAATAAATTTTATATATATTACACAAAATGAAATCATATAATGAAAGTGAACTGTATTGCTGGTTTGAATCTTCATGCCACTCTTTTATAGGTTCCCAGAGATTTGTACAGGCAACATGAGAATATCATTGCAAGAATCTAAAAAGCAAAAATGCAATTTACAATACTGGTATGTTGTATTTTATAGTTGCATATAAAGCGTAAAAAAGTATATTCAATGTGATGAGTGAAATGACTGATACCGAGCAAAGTTGATGCTTTTTTATATTGACTTTTATTCTTGATTTTATCGATAATGATTGATTTAGCAAAAAATTATATTATGCCGGATTTTCCGTATAGTCTTGATAAGTTTCTATCAAACGAACTATGTGAAGTGTAATTTTACAGAAGATGTCTTATCTATCAGAAATGTAAATCAAGGACGACAATTCGGAACGTCTTTAGAATATAATTTACCGGAGAAAAATGTTTGCGAATTATCTTACCTCAAAGACTAAAACACCGAGCGCCACTGCCCCAACAATCAACTTAGAATGTTCGAGAGTTCTTGCACATCCCTCTGTGTTCAGGTATTTGACGTCAGCTTTTTGACACAATGTCACGTTAAGAATGGGCGAATCTTTCTTCAATAACTTATGTTTACAACAAGAGTCTGGAACTATTTTTCCAGAGACAGAGTAACCATTAGTTTTCCAATCTTTGTAACTATTGAATCCGCAACAACCAATCTAAATTCAAAATTTTTTATTTAAAATTCTAATTATAATCATCTTCCGAATAGAAATTCAAACAGAAGTAATAAAGGCCAAAAAGTAAGTGCATAGTTATAGAAGCACAGTGTACTAGAATTAACATGCGCATTAATGTATGGAACAGAGGCACATAAATTCAAAATGATATTTAATTAATGAAAATGTGTCCAAAAGAACCATAATACCAGACGCTGGATGTTGTTAGAACACTCAGGGCTGACACGTGCCTGGGGGAAGGGGGCGTAGTCGGTGAGGAGGGGGGTTTTGAGGGTCGGAACCCTCACTTTTAAAATGCCTGGCGCCCCCTTGCCTGGCGCAGATGAACGTGTTTGACATGATATTGTGACAGGTAAAGTGATATTGACATTTTGATTTAGGAAAAGCAAAGTTTCCTGCATCGACTGGTCAAAAATCTTCATGGTTTTAACTGTACAAAATCTTCGAAATAGGAAGATATTTTAGAAACTTACTGTTGCTTGAATCGTATCCCATCCTTGTGTGACGAGTTTTCCTTGAGCGTCCGTAGAACCGTAGTGAGTCATAGATGACAATGATGACTTTTCAATCTTGCCTTTTTCAGCATAAATCAAGATGGCTGCTGCAATTTCGACAATCAAGACCAGAAGTACCAACACGAAGAACTAAGAAATAGAAATAAATGCATGGGTTCTTGATCGTTTCAGTCGTACATAGTGAAAATGCAAAATGATTGGTAATATACATTTAACAGTTATTAATTGATTTTAGTCTAGACTTTTTCATTGAAGCAAAATTAAAAAATAAATAAAGGTGATTCTTTTATTATTTTGCATTAAACGATCGGTGAAATTTGTGTTTATCCTAATCATAGTCCTGCACGAAAATAAAGATTGTTCGTTCCGAGCTCAATCGAAAATTTTGAGCCTTTACGAAATGTTTTTTACGGAATCTTTCTATTCGAACAAGACTCTGCGAAAACGGTCACAGAGCACATTTAAATATAACGTGTATGTAGCTATATCTATCTATCAGCATATATTTTAGATAACTCACTGTGATCAACAAGCATCTATTTTCTTTGATAGCTCCACAACATCCCATGAAACCAATAACAAGAAGTGCTGCACCAACACCAATGATGATGTAAATACCGTTAAAAATCATTGGATTGTTAGCCATCATCTCTTTGAACGTCTTTTCGTTGACTAAGGCCCATATCCCCACTCCTAAAACTGCAGCTCCGCATATCTAAATAAAACAAAAACAAAAAACATTTTTATTTTAATTGAAAATCACTGTCATTCCCATGCCTTGGAACTTACTGAAAGAGAATCTTAAGAACAACTAAAGCGATATGAGGGTGGAGAATACAGCGCTTTGTCCAATGGCAAAAGAGAAACTTGCTCTTAGATCGAATCTTACAGTTAATTTTTGCGTTTCAATAATGATCAAACTCATTCAAACGAGTCAATAGTAGTATAATAATTGTCAACAAAGTCGTCTCGAATTGAAAATATTTGTACATATATATACACATGCAGTTGAATTCAGTGAATGTTGCGCTATATATATTGAAACCCGAAGTTGTCTTGCTTTTATTCATTTGAAAAACAATTGACGACATTGAAATTTCGAGTTGAGAGTTAACTCATTAGCGGTATTAAATATGTAAGATTCCACAACGCACGTTACGCGAGATCAAGATTCAAGCAAATTTGTGCAAAGGTAATCTCTTTAAGGTTCAATATGTTCCTGTATCCGGAAAATTGGTGTGGAGGAGTACAATAATATTGTTATTACCTACACATTACCTACAGCCTACACATTGTGATGGGTAGAGGTAAAACATGAATCATATAATGGTGTATTCACAATACTGAATACTTAGATCAGAACGAATTATTTTTCGTAAGTATCTAAGCTGTAAATTTTCTTTCGTTATACCAGCTCATAATAAATTACATATTTCGAAAGATGAATTTGAAGTCACTAAAAGTTCATATAGCTGGATATACAGTTGTGCCAAATGAAGGCTGTGATAAAATTTCAAAATCCTTTCCCTGAGATAAAGATATTGTAGATATATATAAATGATATATTTCATACTCACGAAGAAAAGCAAATTGAAGAAAAACATCAAATATTTAAGACATGTCATCGATGCAGACTTCATGGTGATTGTTCGTCCGTAAAGTTTATCAGATAATTATTTCGAACCGATTTTCAGTTAGACAACAAACTATGAATAGATGGAAAGAAATAAGAGAAATTTTATTAAAAAATGATTCAAGAGTTTGTCACAAAAATATGTTATGTTTGGTTATTGGTACCGTACGTATCATGTTATTGATTCGAGTTAAAATATATTTTATTAATGTCTTTTATATTCAGACAAATTTAACGAAAAATTGTATATGTACTTCCCCATGATTCTCATTTACACCCAGTGGTGGAAATCAAAATGTTAGAAAGGGTTCGCTCTCACTAACAACGGGTTCTCTAATTCAAAGAAATTTATGTATCTCACAACTCCAGAACTGTATTCTATTCTTTACGGTGACTATTACGGCTTTGCGAGTACGGGTCCTCGCGAATCCTCTTGAATCCCATCACAGTGTACAGATCATAAGCATCAAAACAATACGAAGTACATTGAACATGTAAATTCATTGCAATATCAATCCTTTAACATTCAAATCCAACAAATTATCTATTCTCACAATTATTTAACTGTACCCAATCTAACCTAACCACATCTTCCAAAATAATTGCAAATACACGAGGGAACATAATAGCTTCCCGTTTCCGTTATAAACTTTGATCCTATTGCCATATTATAATAGCAATAGTGCCACTGGACACATTAATGTACACGAGTTATGTTTAAAATAAATCAATATCGGCCGATTATGTTATCAATGTGTGACTCAGTAGACCAATTATAATAAGAAAAAGCCTGAGGCAAGCTTTGGCCTAATTGCGAGAATTTTTTATTTACTCAAGTTTAGAGTGAGTAGGGTCTTGACTCTCTCTATGGTTACTGGGAATTAACAATATAGCGAGCATAGTTATCGACAAAATGTGATATTATTAAGAAGACAAAGCGTGAAAATATGACAAAAAGTGAATATTCTAAGTCAGGGTGGTCCAAGGTTGTCAGTTCCACGGGCCACAAAATTATTTTTGCATTGTTCGCGGGCCACAATAGTGCCAAGAATAGGTGAACAGTGCAATACAAAACAAACACTTTTATTGTGCATACACATAGTTATCAGGCATAGCCATTCTAGGCTAATAGAATGCGCATTCGATTTTTAGTTTTTTATGATGCCTATATTGTTAGCATATATTCCCTACCAAAAGTTAGAAAGCCAGATACCAATTTAGACTGCCAAGCACATTATTCAACTTCGCAAGTTGCCTCAGCTAGCCATAACACTATTTAATTCAGTGACATTAGTGATGACAATATTTCAAGAGATTTTCTGATTAATTTTATTACGAAACAACACGAAATGCGATTTTTTATTGCTCTCCGAATGTGACGCGGGCCACAGATAATGAAGCGGCGGGCCACATGTGGCCCGCGGGGCTGAGTTTGGATCAGCCTGTCTAAGTCATTCAACAGTCTTGCTGCACACTAATACAAATATATTTCTATAACGTTTCGTCTGATAAAATCTATTATCTTCACTCTTACTTCGGCATCCTTGCATTTTATGCTGTTGCACAGGCGCAAAGGCTTTGAAGAAGGATAGTTTCACAGAAACCCAGTCGATAGGCGTGATAAATCATATGATAACTTGTGAATGAGACGTGAAAACATGTATTCTGGCAATAATATACTTATTTCACCAGTTATTTTACCTTACAGATTCGGTATGATTGTTAGGAAGCTGATTTTGATAATCGGATGGTCGCATCATTCACTCCGCACTTTTCAGAAAAAAACTATTTTTAATTTGTTTATTTCATATTATTCATATATGACTGTTTTATTCTGGTCAAAAAAATTATGAATGTCGCTGTCTCCCCCTTTTCTCCGTAAATACAAAATGACACCATCACTTCCGTTTTATAATACTTTTCGAAAATATCGGAAGGAACTGTCGGTCATATGACCCATTTCCAATTATCAGTCAATATTGATTTTACCCAATTCAGCGTCTCTTCTATATTAGTGGATGAAAGAAATAAGATGCCAAATACATTTCAATATATTTAAAGCATTTTGTAATATCCGAATACGATTTCTGGTTCTCAATTTGAATTTGATACATTTTGAAGCAGAGACCACTCAAGAACAAAACTCAATCCTGAAACCAATACGAAATACTCTTCCGTTTCGCAACTCCTACTTATCACCTCATCCTTATCAACTCAGCACGACCGTTTTTATGTCTTTAACTGCATGAGAGTAAATATTAGCCGCGCAGTTTGCCGCTTTTAGCAATATCTAATATATTTTCTTGGACGATGCCAACATGCAATAGACAACTGCCAATGAAATATTTATTCTTGCTTCAAACTCGTCTGCTAACCAGTTATTCGAATGGCACAGTTTTGCACATAAGAGTTCATAAATTCGGTTAAAGTGTTATTCAAGCGACAAAATTATTTTTACTGTTTCATCGCATTTAATTTCATTCATTGAATTTTGATTCGTCGCCTAACCTAACCCGGGAAAGGAAATGCAACTCAGTTTGAATAGAAGTCAAACAAGTTAACTGCATCCATGAATACTGTAACAATATAAGCTACTGCATAATTAAACTGTTTAAAAATACCAAGGTTTGATCGATTTGAAGATGCAATAATTAATATCGACGATGTTTAGAACTGAGCCTATGCAGAATCTAGACATATACTTTAACATACACTCATTTAGTGTTCAAAGCAATGAAAAACAATTGAATTGAATTTCCTTCGAATTACTAAGAAATGATCGCGCATGATAATATTATTCTACTTTGATGATGCAGTTGACTTTTTATAAACCCCACCTTCAGTTTCTTCCTTCACTAAACTTAACAAAGTTACTATGGTGCACCTGCCAACCCTTTTTGTCCTTATGAAATCTCAGCGAGGAAGCCACACATTACCATCTCCATTCTATTTCCTCTCACTCGGGAAGCAGTGCATCATCTGCGCGAGGTGCGAGAAACCGTTGGCGCTTTCCGGGTCTTGATTAATTGATATTTTATTTCACTGCCTCACTCGGTGTAGCTAAAACCAAGCTTGGGAAGCACTCTGCCTACGCATATTCGTTTTGTTAGCCGAGTCGATACCTTTGCATCATTTGGATATTATAATATATACGATATGTTAATATATTCTATTAATCATATGCAGTATATAAGAAACATGTTTGTTGTCTTGTATAAACCAAAGAAAATGACGTTAATAAACAAATTTTTGATATAATTAAAAATGAAAAATGAGCTTATTTATGCGTTATTATGTATGCTCTTATCCCGTCGTACACATTAGCATCAGTATGGACACGATAACTTATTGATGCACATCTTTAGGCTAGCCTTCCAAATCTGGGTTAGGAATAGCTAGCTGACTTGATCGCTTTAAGAGTTTTATAGACATAAAATTGCATCACCATTGTATTAAAAACATCCATCGACATCTTGATTTAATTAGCAATTTTCTAATGAGAAAAAAAAAAAAACGGGGATGCAAATTTCAAAGTATTTGTATGAAAGAAAATCAACTTCTATAAACATACAGTAATTATATTTGAAAAATTACTTTTCGAGGCTTACCAATCACATGACGAATATGTATAACATTTTTTTTTCATAAATAGTTAGTCTTGACAGTGGTTCTGACCTTGAATACGAATATTTCATAATGACCAAATAGCTCGCATTCGTGAACATACATCTTGAAACGAAAGATTTCTATTTTAGGTTCCTTCTTTGTTGACAGTCTGCGCGAGGGATTGATGAGTAAGGGAGAACAACGACAGGAGTGACTCCCACATCATTGATTCTGCACAAAATTTCGACTCACATGGGATATTGACGTTGCAAAAAATTTAAACGCAAAAATATATAGTGCCACCGCACATGTGAACTCCTAAAGCAAGTTTCTGCAAAGTCGGCCTAGTTTTGCCCTTATGGAAGCAATTTGCGAATCTGCAATTCTGTGGGGGCAAGTTATTGCAATGCGTTGTTTTTTAAGTGTTTCCTTATACACTATAAACCGCTTATATAAAAAGATGTCTACGAGCCTTGGATGCGAATTGAATGCCAGTAAGCCCACCTACGCCCATCTGATTCACAATTCACTCTTCCCTCCGGTAGTCTACTTATGCCTCTATTTGTAAGGACGTGCGGTTTATATTTACAGCAAGTCATAACACTAAACCTCAGAAGTTAAGCCTAACTAAAGCAAGTCAGTATCACAGAATTTTTTTTTCCTATAAAAAATGTAAATTTGAAGGCAAATCCACAAAATATTCAAGCCTGCTAAACTGCACCTATCCCCAGATCTGATCTCATTTATAAATATTTTTCTTTCTGCGTTCGTGTGCCAGACAAATTGATTTTTACAACAATGAGTGATTCCGGATGCAGGATGAAAAACAAGACACAGTTTTTATATGTGTTGTATGCCGAGTGCAGAAGGAAAGGCAATTTTTTTAAAACACAATATGGGTAAACCAATTATTTCTGAGCTTCTGTGCCTCATTAAATTATCCCGCGTCTTTAACAGCTGTAAAAATTTATAAGATAAAAACAAATTACTTTTGAATTATGTACATTTTTATCTATATTCCTATCCAATTGGATTGCATTGAGTCACGTTTTTTCAGTAATAAATATATCAAACATTGTAAAACCATGACCTGCGACAGTTGAGGAACCTAAAATCTACTTTTATTAGCTCGCATCGGACAAACAGCCCAATTTTTAGTTCGACAAATTCGACGAGCTGCAGCCACTTGCTACTGGAAGAATTCACCTCCATTCTTACTCATGACCACCTACTATAGCTAGCTATCTACTTCTAAATACACGCTTAGTTGCCGAGTTGTATATATAAAGCAGTGCTGTGTCGAAGTCCAAACCCTATATTCGGATGAACCAACTCCCAATTGTTATAAATTATGACTCTGACTTTCTGAATAATGTTTTGATGATTATTAGATCAGGGATGACAAAAAAGACGTTAAAAACTGTAGTGACAGCAAACCTAATTCTGTTACGCAAAGACGCTTCAGCCGATTTATGCGATTTAAAAATACATCTTCCACTCCAATGCCACCAAAATCCTCCAGATGACTAGAACCAGCTTCAACTAAATCGATCAATTCATCGACATGCGCCGTTTATTGATATAAATTTCCAGTAATTCCAAAAAGACATGCAAATATAATTATTTTTATTTTCGTCCGTATCCAAGTATGAGGGTGATTTTATAAAATCGAAGTGGAGCTGGAATGTAAGATCATCATTCACCTAGAAAAGGATGCAAGCATTTTAAAAAATAAACAAGAATAAAAATGGAAAAAAACTGATATTAAAACTTTTATTTTCATAATATATATGAATTGGTTTCAGTGTTACTTAATCTTATTACTAAAACATTACTTCATTTTGAATTAAGTTTAGAGTAGGTTGGTTTATATCATCTAACTCTATGATTTAAGGAATAGCAAAATTAATCAAAAACCAAATTTCGTCATCGTGTGTTCGACACTTTCAGCCAAACAAGTTTTTACGGAAACAAGGGGTCGTTTCTGGTGATCGAAGGCACGACATATAAACAAAGATCTATGACCTGTAAATCCAGCATAATTATACATGTATGGACATAATCTGGGTTTTCACATAAGTTTTAGAGGCTTAACATATGAGTCTGTTAAAAATTACCTCAACGGGCCAAGTTGAACCTTACTCTTATACAATGCTGTATGATAATTGATCATAATAATCTGTGTTAGCTCACCTTCACAAGGATGAAAACTATATTTCCTTGTAATCGACGATGGCTCGGTAAAGACAGCTCGTGGTTATCAAAGCGAAAAGCTAGAAAAATAATTTTTTTGTATATAGTTATACCAATTAATATTTATGTAAATTCGAACTGATCCTTTTCATCATGAAATAAATTAACAAAACATTTAACAAACCTCAAACAACAAAATTCCTAGCCCCGCTCCGGCAACAATCCATAAATAATCGCCAAGTTTTGCTTTGCATCCGTCTGTGTTGAGAAACCGTTCGACACCAGCTTGACACAAAGTAGCATTAGTTGGGGACGAAGTTTCCGAAAGAACATCTCGTGCACAACAAGATTCTGGGACAACTATTCCTGCATAGCGACCAGCCCAATCCGTATTATTTCGCCATTCATTATAATGTTCATAGCCACAACATCCAACCTGATTACGTAAATAAAATACTATTATATTCACTACATTGATCTGTGTTTCATATCTATTCATATCTAACTTCGTCTGATCAGATGGTACCCTGGATTTTGCGGATGTGCGACATTTGTGTCGTATATTTAAGCATTGTTCTCTTGTTTATTCCATGGGACCGGAAAGCCGATAGAGTAGCCACCAGCTTCATGTATTTTATATGAGACATTCATAATAAGCATTGCCTCAAATCATGTACATTAAGGTAAGCATTCATTCTCACAGTTCCTTGGAGTGTATCCCATCCTTGTTTTATCACATTTCCCTTGCTGGTGCCATCACCATACGAAGAAATAGAATCGAGAACTGCACTTTCAACTTCCCCGAAATACATGAACATAAGCATTGCTCCAGCGATTTCAACGATAAAGATGATAAGCACAAAAATGAAAAACTAAAAACAAAATTGAACCAAATTTTTCGTATAGGTTCGTTCCAACCCTGCAGTTTTTGAATCCCACCTTTTTACCATTATGGGTATATATCACAGATTAATGGTTAATTTTTGCAATACAGACCCGCCAAATTTGTTCATCACTCCAATGCACAACCGTACAATTTTACACGAAGCTTTAATACTGCAGTTTTGGAGATTGGAGGAACTTAACGCGCGAGTACAGTTTTACCAGACTCGACTTAAATTCGGTTGTTCTTTCGTCTTCTATCAAATGTGTAAATACCAGAGTTCACATAAATATGGCATACTATTTACTTAGTCTTAATTAAGCACCGAACACATATCGTTGTAAACATAAGCTGATATATAGATATTAATGGTGATTTTTTATGATCATGGTATACTTACTATAGCCAAGAAGCATAAATTTTCTTTGAAGGCTCCCCAACATCCAAGAAATCCCAAAAACAATAGCACTGATCCGACAGCGATAATGATGTATACACCATCGAATATTAAAGCATTATCCACGAGAATCTCTCGAAACGCTTCTGCATTGACTATCGCCCATACTCCAACTGTTACGGCCACTAAGCCACATATCTGAATACAAGGTAAGGCGTCAGACTTTGACCTACAATGTTATAAAAATACCTAGTGCGTCCGAAATATATTCCCAGCAAGTCGCATGAATGTACAATACTAGAAATATTTTTATCTCCCAGATTTGCGCTTAGGATTTCCAATATTTGCCAAACGTAGTCGCAAGTTGTTTTAATGTTACTGATGTCGCAAGTTACAGATCATGTTTACAAAAATCTCAGGCCATCGCTACATCTAGGCCTTTCTAGGGTATAATGCAGATTGCGATGCTTCTAAGATTCAAAAACCATTAAGGGCAAAGCCATTAAATGATCACAAAACACGTGGGATTCTCTTATATTCTTCTGGCCACTTTCTAACTCGTGATAAATTCATTCCTCAAATTTCATGATTTGAATTTTTGAATCCAAAAACTAAAATTATGATTAAATACAAATATCTGAACCCGAGCCTCAGTATATATATATATATATATATATTTTATCGATCAAATTGCTTTGCCTACGTATTTTTATTAGTATGCTGGAGCATGTTTGTTCGTAACCAATCTGTTAAGATACAACTAGGTAAATACTTACAAAAATGAGTAAATTGAACAAGAACATCACATATTTCAAGCATTTGTAGTTGGGGGCGTCAGCCATATTTACAACCTGCTATAAATACTTGTAATGAAAAGCCTGTTTAAAAACGAATCATTCAATTCCAGTTCCAAATTTTTTATTTCTGATCCTAAAAGAGACTCTATTTTCTCCCCAGTAAGCATACAACGTGAGGTTGGTTGAATGAAAGGCGACAAACTCGTACTGAACTCTTACTTTAAACTCTCACTAAAGACCTTCTCAGACATTCTAGCATATATGTATTTTGTCTGGTTATGGTTTGTAAAGATTTCCAAATACAGAGTACTTCGATAAAAATTTTCTGACACAATTAATGACCAAAAATCTATTTAACTACAGCAAGCGAAATGTGTACAAAATTCTACTTAAAACCTAATTCAATATCACAATTCTGTACTTTGCAGTTTGTACCGGATCTCTTCAAAGTAAAACATCATTAGCGCTGGAATGTCTCGCATTAAAGCATTATTTCTATATTCACGCGTAATAATCAAATAATATATTCCCATTGTATTGATGATTATGGGCGGCTTATATATTACGCGTATCTCATCCATTTCTGGACTAAATATCCGATATCGTAATAATAACCCTGAACATACTTCTCATAACACGGAGAAAACACAACGGATCATAACGAGGTTGTATTATGACTGAAGCAAAATATGAAGGTAAACGTAAACTTTAAGAATCATATCTTAATCACTTTCTAGATTAACATTATATTGAGAGAGATTTTACATTTCCGTTTTTTTTGTTTACGACAAGTGACGCAAATGCTGTAACGTTATCTTTCTAGAACTCACAGTGTATGATTATATATATATACAGGGTGATCAGACCAAGTGTAGACAAATGTTCATAAAAATATCTACAATATATATAAATGTAGGAGAAAAAAATTATTTTGCAGAAAATAGCATTATAAAGATAAATAATAGAATTCATTGTTATATTTTGATATATCCTTCCTTTCCCTTCACTACACGCCTCGATCTGCTTGGAACTTGACTGCACGAGGTACGTATGGTTTCTTCTGAAATTTTGTCCCAACAAGTCATCCACTGCAAATGCCATTTTGCTAATTCTAGAAGAAGTCACGTCTCTCTTTTTTGGAAGAAATGCGAAGACTAATCGTGCCTCTCCAAAATATACATAAATCTCCAATTTTGGGTAGACTCCACACTCAAGTCAAAAATTCCTCATTGTGTTACTGTTTTACAAAGTTGATTTCCCGTCATCGAAACTTGAATTTAAAGACTTGGGTTTGTTATCAATTTGGATGTGGAATGGCTGGGGTCGTGCGGGCGTAATTTGCATAATATATTACGTACCTAATTTTGTGAGATATCATTTTCGCATTGCTTTTTTTTGTCAGGGATAACGGTTACAGACATCATCAAGTAGTCAAAGCTATAGAAAATTTATATATAGTTACTCATAGTTGCAAACGCTCTGATACCGTAGAAGATATTTTCACTTTTTCAGATGCTGCTGATCCTTCATATCAATTCATTCCTTTAAAATTGCCCAAGATGGCAATGCCGTTTTACCCTTATTTGGAAACTATATTTTCAAATCAGTATATCACAGCTATCGATGTTAATTTGAAACTCAGCTTAAACAATTCACAATATATCATTGTCGCTGCTCAAGTAGACGTCGTTAGTTGCAATCTAGAATCGGAGCGCCAAGTCGAAAATCATCAGTTATCCAACTAAATTTCCGCTCAACCTTTACTACGTATACACCATACTTCTGAGTTCAACAGTTGATCAATCTCTCGATATCTCACACTCACTGCAATACTGTTTATACTTGAGCATAGCTAAGATCATAAATGCAATGAGTTTTTGGTGAATTTTAATATCAGTCATAAAAGAATGCATTACATTTCCCAAAAAGAAATCGGAAAACTGACAAATAAAGAAATTAAGTTCATTTATTTGAATGTATTTTTATTTATCACAAATACATAATTATTCTCTCGTTCTTCCGAGAGTTCTAAAATTGAAAACACAACAATTTTTCCGAAGAATTTTCAATTATTACAGCTGATAACAAAAGTGAATTTATATAAATCAATGTTTAAAATCTTATTTTTGTTTTACAATTTATCCCTAAAAATAAATGGTGTATGATTTCATTAGATTTAAGTTTATAAAAAAGCAAAGGATGCCTCAACAAAAAGTAAATGAAAATCATATAATGGCAATAATGAACAACAAAATAAAAAAATGAAGAAGTATCTAAAACTAAAATCCCGAGGCATTATTTTATGTTCATACCTCGATAAGTACACGACGTCCCAGAGCCATCATTTAGTGTCACGTCATATGACATGACACCATCAGGATGACACATTTAAAAATACACACATGAAAAAATGCAATATATGTACATTGTAAAAGTAGAGCATGCAATATCTTGGACAGGCAAAAATTTAAATTAGTTAATGAACTAATCAACGCTTAACCAGTCGCTGCGTACAAAAAAAATTTGAGCACGAATCGTTTGCGTTCGGGTCAAGCGTTTCTAAAAATAAACCAAATTGTTAGCAACAAAATCTAGAATGAGTAATTTGTACTTTAAATACGCAATATATAGTAATCAAGACACATATAATAAACTGCAATATAGCATAAGTAACCAAACAAAGCACATTTATTTTTAATATTTTCACGTGTGATGCCTCTCACACACGATCATATGTTATGCGATCGTTCCAATAGCATAATATTGCTATAAGAATTGCAATAGGTAATTTTTAAACAAATGCAATATCTCAGGGCGAACAATGAACTGTAATCTATTGAACAGTTGTATCCGTATAATATACCGGTACCCAAAAATTTAACTCGAAAAGTTTATAGTCCATGCGGCATTCAGATAAATTCAATTTTAGTCCTTATTTATAATTTCTATTACTAATATTTTAACTAGATTACTATTGAAATGCAAATATGCAATGTGATGATACTGTATAACATTTTTATGGTTATACAAAATATGCCAGTGAACGCCATCTTGGCGAAGGTAATTTTAGTGAATAATGTTTACAATGATTTTAGTAGACGTAGAAAATAGTGTGTCTTCTGACCCGTTGGCATCTTTGTCAGTTTTATTGATTCCTGTAATTGAAGATTTAAATTAATGTATATAATCTATTTTTCCCTGAAGTACTTATGCACAAGTAAATCATAATTTACAAACACGCGACTATTATTAAGACAACAGCAGCGGAATATCAAATATACGCCTAAAAATGACCGTCGATTTGAGGTTTCTTAGCTTTCTGGACAAAAAAAAAAACATCGCCAAGTATGGTAGGTGAAGCGACGGCTCCATTTTTATCGGAAAATATTAAAATCTGAAGTAGAGACGCTTGACAATGGTAGCTTGGCATATAAAAATAAAAAAAATATAAAGTATATATAAATTACCTGAAAATAACTTAAACTAGATATCCATCCCATTGTACTTTTTATTCCTCGACGGCACGGTAGAGACAGCAGGCAAAAATCATTCCAAGAAGCTGAAAAAGCAATAAAATAACTTCAGAACTAGAATTGAATTAAAAAATAAAACGTCAGTCAACAATAGTTGTGTACGTTATTAAATGACGTTTTTACTTCAAAGTGAAAGCAAGTTAAATTTACATATTACATCGCAACATAGTATATTATTCGATATCATAAATTTTGCCGATGTACTGAAACTGCAGGTCATATAATATTATTAAGTAAAATAATAACTCAAATATAGAAATAATAAGGTCAAAATTTTTTTATTCGAAACAGGTGTTTTGATAAATTTGCATAGTTCAAATTTTAAGCCCAGAAATCTAGAAATAAAGTTTTATATTTTAACCAACTTTATATTTATATTTATTTCCAAGGCTGCTCAAAGAGTCATTCAATTTAAAATGAATTCCTACAAATGAATTCGAGAAACAGTACATAGGTCCGATTAGCACTTTTTCTTCTTGGTATTCTTACCTCAAAAAACAGAATTCCAAGTCCAACACCACCGACAACCCACAAATAGTTTCCAAGTTTCGCGTTGCAACCTTGTGTATTCAGAAATTCTACATTCCCTTGTTGACAGAGAGTTGTGTTTGTTGGCGAAGATGTTTCAGAAAGAATTTCTCGCTTGCAGCAAGAATCTGGAACAATCTTACCGGGATTACGGCTCGCCCATGCAGTGTTGTTTTTCCATTCAGAATAAGATTTGTAACCGCAGCATTCGACCTTTTAGTTGTGAATGTAACAATATTCTAATGAATTTATATTGCAGTGAATTTACATTTATGAATACGCGTGCCACGATTGGAAATAGTACAGGCTATTAGTTAAAGAAAACAAGAATGAAACAATGTAAACAAAGCTAAAACTCAAGCCTGTCGGTCTGGGACACAAACTGCACTCATTTAAACCCTAAAGTTAATGAGGCGTGACTGACAATCATGCAAGCCATCTTATCCTACCTAACCATTCAGTGGCATATCCGAAACTCAAGCCCAATTTTACATAACTAATAATAATTAGTAAAAAACAGAAGACAGAAATGGAGTAGCTTACTGTAGCCTGGAAGGTGTCCCATCCCTGCTTGATAACTTTCCCTTTGTCAGTTCCATCTTCATACGCAGACTGCGATTCGAGAGCTGCAGTTTCAACTTGTGGATAGTAGACGAAAACAAGAATGGCACCGACAACTTCAATGATAAAGATGATCAGAACGAAGACGAAAAACTGTAACAGGGTAAGGGAATTTGAAATAATTTTTTTTACAGAATTATTTGTAATTGTAATAATCCCAAATCTGAATACAGACGATGCTGCCTGAAGATAAGTCAATAATATCTTGCTGGTGTTGATTTTTTTGTCACGTACGAATTACATACATCATTAGTGGTCGTTACGGCGACTCCTTAGACTTCTATACAGTAGTGGGATTCAGCCGGTTTGCACCGGTTCTATAGAACCGTCTCATGGAATTTTATGAGATCAGCGAACCGGTTAGCATTACTGGTAAATGTCAATGACTTTTTGTAACAGAACCGGGTGAAAATATGACATTTGTGATGAAACCGGCTGACAAAAAAATTGAATCCCACCACTGCTTCTATATTATACATAAAATTCTACAAACGGACATTGGTTGACTTACTCATCGTCTGACAGCGGAAGGCGTTCAGCCATACTCAACCAGTACTTGGAATTTTTCGTTAAACCAAGGGCTGCGATTCTCTAGAAACGGCTTGACAACGGTCGGCATAGCATAAGTACACAGACCAGTGCACATTTGTAAAGAATACCGACCTTGACATAATTGAGTAATTTCTACGAACATCAGAAAAATTAAAAATACATTTTTTACGAGAAAAATCATTACCGTTCCCAAGAGGCATCTGTTTTCTTTGATTGCTCCGCAGCATCCCAAAAATCCCATCAAAAATAATGCTGCTCCGACTGCAATGATGATATAAACTCCGTTGAAAATCAGATCATTGTCGACCAGAATGTTCTTGAATGATTGAGCATTCACGACAGCCCATATTCCGACAGCAAGTGTTGCTATTCCGCAAATCTAAAAAAGAAAGCATATTATGGTCAATAGTTTGCCTTCAGAAAATACAACACAAATTACCAAAGTATGAAAAGATTTGATACTTACGAAAAATAGCAAATTGAAGAAGAACATCAAATACTTCAAACAGTTCAGTGAATCAGTTTTCATGTTGCTTGTTTGTCTTTCGGCGAAGAAATTAATACAATTTTAGGCAAGGTTAGTTCTAAGTCTGTGAAACACCAAACACATATATAAATAAATGTTATGTGTTTAAGCGACGTAGATATGCATAAGTGGCGAAGTATATTCTATTCCAAACATTCAGGGATTCTTAACAAATAAAACTAATTCTGCTTGGTAACTGAAGCAATTCTGTCAACTAAGCCATAAGCAATAAATAAATTTTGGTTGAAATACAGCATTCAATACATCATCGTGCAGTAATAAGCAATACAGGAAATGTAGAACGGACGCCTGGTACTTGTTGAATACTTCATTCAGTCAATGGAAGCCTGTTTGATATAAACCAGCTTCGAAACAATTTAACGGGGATTGTTATTATGAGTAATCTATAATGCTGTAAAATTATGCGATAGCTTATTCATAAATATGTAATTAGTGAGCAATTACAGAGACCGTTACTCCGGAATTAACTGTCATAATGACCAGAGATATGAGCTATTGAGAACGATAATCCATACCAGGGTACGATCGTAACATACAAGTGCAGCAATTGTATACTCATTCAGTTGACCAGTATAGTTCAAAGATTGATTACGAAAAAAACGCTAATAAACTCACCATATGCTACAATAATAAATGAGGATATTTCAGCACGGGGTCGACATTGGATTGCCTATGACAATTTCCGCGTGAGCGCGATTATAGAGAGAAAAAATACTCTGGCATTGGTTAAACAATAAAATACACTACACTGGTCTATTGCTGTTATATCGATTTCTCTATTGCGCTAGTGTGCACATAAATCCAAATAAAAGACGAGAAAAGGATCCTGTCTTGAAAAGCATTCAGGGTCAGATGGGGACGCGGATTGTACATTATTCACACATAAAAACAAGTCTTAACGATGTTATCAGCAAACGCAGAATTGTGTAAATACTATTCAATCTATAATTCATACATATCTCATCTCATATATAAAGAAAAAATAGGATAAATATATAGTTATTGCGTGGGAAATCAATTTAGTCATTGATATTCTCCTAAGCTTGAGTTCAACATGCTTAACTGTATAAAGTACAATAGTCTTAATAAATAACATACAAATCAATCTATTCGATTTATGATCTAAAAATATATCGTTCCTGGCTCGTGAGTATAAGTGTGGACTGCTTTCACCAACACGCGTTTTAATACTATTATCATGAATTACAGGGTAAGAGAGGTAATATATAAAATCGATACATACACATCAAAACGTGGTCGATGAATGCATGAACATGGCGGTAATGATAGCATCAATTTTATTAGCTGTCTGTAATTGTCAGAAGATATTGTTGGAGACATCGACCTTGTCAGTTTAATTATTCTCTGGTTTGTATTATCATGTTCGATCCGTGCGTTACTCAATATAGACCATCACTACTCTTTCCAAGGCAAAATTTGAAATCTTACAAAACATCGCTCATGGATATTTCATGATTAAAATTTATATATATATGCAACATTTATCCAGTAATGGTGTAAAAATTGCACACATGCAGTAAAAGTATTAAGATCGCCGGAGTGACACTAACTGCAACTGAATAGTACCAGTTGGCAGTTAAATTGATCATTCAAACCAAGGTGATTATCAAGTCAGTATTTGTGACAGTGACAGGATATTCCATCACGATTCACGTGATATATAATCATAATTTCTGGTATAATCCATGGTTACCAGAACCGTCTTAGTAATAATAAATTCTCATACTCAGTGAATCGACAACGCTTTAACTGTGACCATTAAAAATGCGCAACGGTCAAAGAAACCACGAATTAAGAGCTCAAGCATCAAAAGCCACATGGCAATTACTAATATCCGATGCTCGATCAGACGTTCTGAAATTTCTATAACGTTATATCTACAATGAAAAGGATACAACACCCTGTCCGCAACTGAATCCACACGTATTCAATTCTATCCATATCAGAATGATAGATAATGCGATATCGCACTGAAAGAAACCATTAGTCGATCGAATGATCAAATTTACTCAGCGAACTGAAAAGACTTTTACAGACGGTTACGTATTCAGTATAATCACACGGCTTTTTAAAAAAAAATGAGATTATAAAAATAAGACGATTTATTATAAATCTATTCTCGTCCAAGAACGGGCCGTATAGCTTTACACCCATGGAATATAATTGATCTAAGTAAATGTTTGACTGAATTTCTAAGATCAAAAATCGTTCCCTGACTGTAAAAACAGTCAGAACAATATTGAGCGATTCATGGTGGTATGAAGTGCGTGTTGAATAAACAGAAATCCATTGCTAAATCCGTTTGAACGTCAAAATGTCGTCATCTTCAGGAGACACGCTGAGGCCATTTATATCAAAGCGAAATTAGTCTTATTTCGGTTCCACTCATTTCCTATACGTGGTCAAACACGCTCTAGCAATATTGAAATAGAGGCAATTTCTTTTGTATATAAATACATTACGTGATTCATAGAAACTGAAACATTCAAACGCCAACAAGAAGTTAAAATGCAGTGGAATACGCTAAGCTTGTTATAGTGATTTTATCATACGGAAGTAAAACGTCCCGTCTTCCTTCTTTACGAATCGTGAACCATTTTAAGTTTTAGGATCAACCAAGACAAATAACCTGGCTCCTTATAGGATCAACCAACACAATCGTTTATTATTGATGGAATGTCTCTGATCCTTGTTGCGTTTCGTCCTAATCGGCACAAACCCGGGGCTAATCCAACATTGGTCAGCCTCGTTTGTGTCCGTTAAATTATATAATGTATTCTATTTATATTTGACCAACCGCAACTAACTAGGTATTGTCTATATATATTGAATTACCCACTACTTGCTGAATAAGTGACTAACAGTAGTTTTTGGTAGTATGCCGAGTAGAAAAACACCAATTAATTTTTCATAATTCCGGCGAAGTCGTTCGAGTAAACCCTTTCATAATTTATTGACAAAGATGCGGGAAATATGATAGAAGGGTATGGGGAATTCGCGTAAACAAGGCACGCAAGGCATTTAAAACGTAAACCAAAATATAGAGAAAATATATTCTATTTCACTATAAGAAACGACCTTCGTTACCTGGAGTACCAAGTTTCAATCAATAATTACACAATACCCTTTGGTGCTGTAAATTGATGCTGAGATACAATGGTACGCTGTATGTTCATCATATTTGTCTGCACCCGATGCAAATATATGATGTTTATTTATGAAATATCAAATCTAATAAAAATTACCTCGTAAGCTCGAATAAACTTCTACTTAAACAATTGCCCAAATACTGAACATATTATTCGTAACATTTTTGCTCCCAGACACTCAGCGTCTTAGTGATAAGATATTCCTTTTAACTACAAGAAGCTATTCATAAAACTGACAGCTTAGCAAGGCTCATATAAGTATTGAACATATATTTAAACAATTTGGTAAATCTAGGGAAATTTCATTCCGACTTTCCTCTTCTCCTTGGGCTCCCCTGACGCACCGAACCATAAAGGCGACGCTTTTGAATAACTGTCATGGAATTGGGCGTATCCGACAGACGCATTTACGTGAAGAAGATGAATAGCTAAAATAGTCATGTGACAGTACGTGTTCGTGAAACATCGACAGATCAATTCATACAACTTAACAATAAATAAAATATTTAAAATTCGAAAATAGAAAAATGTTCGATGATACATAAAAGGCCTGTTTGCGTCGCGGTATGATAAAGTAGTTTAATTCTTGTTAAATTTACCTCTTAGACAACGATTAGCTTTAAACGAGTTCACAATGCAACCCCTTTTCTTCCTAAAAGCAGTATTGTAATATTATATCGAAACAGACATAGTCAGCCGTCTATTGTTAAAGCGAAAAATACCAAGATTTCAAAAATACTATTTGAAATATTTTCCTCAGCAATAAGTATTCACATACCCACGTACACACCACATATGATATACGTTTATGATCTTATACTAGTCTCCATATGTTTATAGAGTTAACAGGTTGACTATACAGCTTTACCTACAACGATTTTTGCTAGCTCTCAGTTTTCCAGCGCTTCCCCAAAGACTAAATTTGAATGAGCTTTTCATTTATAAGTGCGTGCCTGTGCGCATCAACTCACATTAGTGGACAATGGAATACCAAACTTCAAAATTTGTAGATATCATAACAGCCAGTCAAAAATGAAATGAATATTGATCGCTGCTTCTGCGAAACTGGTGTATTTTTAAAGTAATTCATTCTCGTTCCGCTAAATATTCATTGCAGTAATTTGACGCTCTCATTCTTTCACGGGACAATTATCATGTAGCACCTTTCAACCTGTCTGTCCTTATGTGTATCACATGCTTGATTACAGTAACGGAAATACAAAGAAGTCGAACATAGGTTTTCCTCTATACAGTAACAAACCAAATCCATACATCGTGATTACTGATATAAATGATAGTTAGTAACAGTGAATTTAAACGAGCTCCCTTCCGTTCAATAGAAAAACGAAATATGAATAGTGCTCAAAAATAATTGTGCCAACAATCAGTGAATACCTATCTAGTTTAAACGTACCACAACGCATTTCATGCTTTTGTTAAAAAAACACGGTTGTTATAATATTACATTTACATATGAACGCCATTTGTGATATTTGTAATGCTTGAGAGTGATTTGATTATTTATGGCTTTATGCCAATGTCATGAAGCCAACGCCTAATTTTATGCTACGTTAAAAAAAAAATAAAGCAATAGGATTGAAACGACTGCTCGCAAGATTCAGTTGAGCATGACTTAGAATAACCAAGAATTATCAATCTTTTACAGATCCAAAATCAAGTTGAAATCTAACTTTAGGCTTACAACTGAATTTAATGATAGCATAGCCAAAAGACGTCATTTTATTCAACTTATTATATTTCTATAACATATCATTAGAAATGGTATTTATTATTCAATGACGACATGACGACTCGCCATGAGATATTGTCACGGATAAATGTTGATGAATTATCTTTGGTATTAATAACTTGAAATGCCTTACCGCATTAGGTCAATGGATCTAAAACAG